CTGAACGTAAACAACAAAGAGAAGAAGAAGGCCTGCATGAAGATCGCTGAGATCAGCCTGAGGGCATCGTATACCATCTATTTGTCCAGAAACAATACCATATGGACAGATGATTGGGAGTTAGTCAAGAGACCAGTAATAGCATAGTAGGAGCGTAGAATGTTTGGGCCCAGAAAAACATGTTTAATACCGCTATGAACCCGTCATAAGCCGGGGACTACTATGAAAATGATGATGCTGTGTTGTTGAAAGACCTTCGACCAATCAAAGATGTACCTCATCACGCCAAGCAGTTATGCTTGTAGGTGAATATACACTTATAGAGTACAACAACTTTATAACACTCCTTATGATTGGAAATTGACCCGAGTGAGGAGGGTTATCCTCACATTGATTAACGGATTGGAATCTCCTTGGAGATATGGCGTTTACTCGTCAAAGGGAAGTTGCATGGTTTGATGGTTATGCCAGTAGAGTGACACGACTTCCCCTCTCACTCTGCGCCTACCTGACTTCTAACTGAGGGTGGCGTTTCTACGTCGGGCACCCTCACGAAAACAAATGACCGGGAAGTCCCTTGGGTGTGAACCCCAGCTCCCCTGCTACTATTTCACCCACAGCAACTAATAGCCAGCAAGATGATAGTGGAAACAACACAGGGCGGAGTGTTACACACGACCAACAGTGTGATAAGTGTAAAAGGTGGTTTAAGCACGTGAAGAAACACGCGAGATTTTGTAAGCAGACACCGGACAAGAGCCTGGAAGAAGATGCCGTAGGCATTATCGGTCAGGAAGGAGGTAACACGGAGACGGAACCCAGCCAGGATACAAACCACAGTGCAAAATGGAGGACGTCTACGTCTGCAAACTTTAGATCTCACGCAGATCCACCAGAACCGGTAGTTATTAAAACTCGATTAAAACTACCTAAGGCCAATGATATTAGGTGGGACAAGATTGATCAAGACCTCGGTCTAATTGGTCTCCAGTTCACTACACACAGCGACCCTAGTAAGGGTTTGGAGTTACTTGAGAACACCACCTATGATTACCTCGAGTTGATATGCGAAGTCGGTTCAACAAATATTATACCATCGAAGAAAAAACCGAGACTTGATGCTGAGTGCAGACAGTTGAGGGAAATGAAGAAAGAGAGTAGAAAGGAATGGAAGAGAGTATGCGACTCGAATGATGATGAACAGGTTAAAAGACAGAAGATTTCTTACCTGAAACTAGTACGACTTCATAACAAAGCAAGAAAGACCGCCCAGAAGAAAGAAAGGAAAAAGATGAAAGAGAATAGCTCCAAACTCTTTAGAAAAAACCCTTATGAGTATGGTAAGAAACTGCTCACGAAGGAAGAGACTAAAGATAAAGAGCCTGAGTTCGACAGTGAAGAAGCATCTAAGTTCTTTGAAAAGGAGTACAAAGATGATGACCGAGAGCGTGAATATGTAAACCCCACAGGACTGAAAGACCTTGACAAACCTAATTGGATCTGCAGTACAGCGCCACCCACATGGGATGAATTCCACCTAAAGCTTAAGTCAAGGAGAAATAAGTCAGCACCTGGGTCAAATGGTGTCAACTACCTGATCTACAAGAAGTGTCGAACTTTCAGTCACCATCTACACCATCTGATATGCAGGATTTGGAAAACAGGAGTTGTCCCCCCACAGTGGAAGGTGGGAGTGAGTACATTAATTCCTAAAACGGATGATCTAAAAGATCCTGGCAAGTTCCGTAATATCACACTCCAAAACTGTAGTGGGAAGCTGTTCTTTGCCATCTGGGGAGACCGTGTACTTGAGCACATGACACGAAATCTGTTCATTGACACCTCAGTACAGAAAGGTTTCATGAAGAAAACCCCTGGTTGCCTAGAACACACTCAAGCCCTCCTTGAAGAGATAAAAGATGCTAAAAGCCACAGAAGACAAGTCCACGTGATCTGGATTGACCTTATGAATGCGTATGGGAGAGTCCCGCACAGCCTTATTATTTATGCCCTACGCCGGTACCACCTACCTGAAAGCTTCATTAAGCTTATAATTGAGTATTATGGAAGCCTCAGTGTCCTAGTTAAGTGCAGGAAATGGACATCCAGAACATTCTGGTATGAGCTAGGCCTGTTCCAGGGAGACCCACTGTCCGTGATCCTGTTCCTTATAGTATTCAACATCCTACTGGAACTTCTAGCTGTACTGTGCAGTCAAGTTGGGTATGAGCCAAGCTTCTGTGATAGCAAGACCTCAAAGAAAGCATTTGCTGATGACCTAACCCTGCTCTCGAAGAGCGAGAAGGAGATGAAGAAGATGTTGAAGGTAGTAGAAGAGTTCCTGGACTGGTCGAAGAAAATGAAGGCTAAACCATCGAAGTGCCTGTCTATGTCTATGAAGTGTACTGGAGGAAAGTACAATACCTATGATGCAGAGTTTGTACTAAGCGAACAACAGGTGCCGTCCATTATCCAAGCACCAATGAAGTTCCTAGGAATGTACATGTATGTAGATCTTGAGGTGAAGGAAATTCGGTCCATGATTAAGAAGAAGTTAGAGGACCTTTTGGAAACAACGTCTAATGATGAAATCACTGGTCCAATGAAGGCGTGGGTGTATAACCACCTCATCATTAGTAAGATGTCATGGGGGTTTACTGTTTATAACCTACCCATCACATTTGTGAGAGAGCTTGAGGCACTGTGTAACAGATACCTTAAGAAGTGGCTAGGGATTGCGCATCCTTGTACCACCACCGTCCTCTACAGGAGTAGAGACCAGAAAGGATTGCAGCTGAAAAACATCTGCACTGAGTACAAAGTCATCCAACTTATTAAGGGACACCAACTTTGTAACTCAAGTGACCCCTACATCAAAAAAGTGTACTCTAACCATAAGGCTATTGCAGACACACAGAAGATGTGGTCTTATCCCAAAGAGCTGAAAGACCGTCAGCGCCAACTTTACTTCCAAGAGTTAGTTGGAAAACCTGCAGTTGGTACAACTGGCCTCGGGTATGGGACAAGATATGAGGACACATCAGAGAGGAAACTACTAACCAACATGGTGAGGACTTTTGATGAAGAGACACTTATTTGTTCACTTTTTGACAAAAAGCGGCAAAACCTCTTTCTCACATGGGAAAATACAATGACATTTGACACCACGTGGAATAACCTGATCTATCAACTTAGTCCGGAACTGTTAAAGTTTCATGTCAATGCTATCCATGACACTGCGTCAACACCTAGCAACCTAAAGCTTTGGAATAAAGCCGTTTCAGGAAACTGTAAACTCTGCAGCAAACAAGGGACACTCAATCATATCCTCACGTTCTGCAAGGTTGCACTGAGACAGGGACGTTTCAACTGGCGCCATGATCAGGTCCTACGTGAAATCATGAAGACTGTTTCATCACCCATTGAAGAGTTTAATTCCGACATCGCCAAGGAATCGAAGAGGGCACCGTCGGTCTTTCACAAGGCAGGCAATAAGCGCGAGAAGGTTACCTTAGCTGACCCAACTCATCATAAGACCAAAAGATATTTCTTTTCAGATGCCAACGACTGGAAGATAATATTTGATGAGGATGAGAGACAGAGGAACTTCCCGCAGCACATTGCAGCTACACCACTAAGACCTGATGTAGTGATCTATTCAGATAAAGCAAAGAAGGTTTATCTAATGGAGCTGACTTGTGGAAATGAGCAGAACTTTGCTGATCAAGAGAAGCGAAAGATGAAGAGATATCAGCAGCTGACAGAAGAGATAGAAGCCAACGGATGGGCTTGCAAGCTCCAGACAGTAGAAGTGGGAGCTCGAGGCATTTACAATTATAGCCTCCCAACCTTTATGAACCACCTGAACGTAAACAACAAAGAGAAGAAGAAGGCCTGCATGAAGATCGCTGAGATCAGCCTGAGGGCATCGTATACCATCTATTTGTCCAGAAACAATACCATATGGACAGATGATTGGGAGTTAGTCAAGAGACCAGTAATAGCATAGTAGGAGCGTAGAATGTTTGGGCCCAGAAAAACATGTTTAATACCGCTATGAACCCGTCATAAGCCGGGGACTACTATGAAAATGATGATGCTGTGTTGTTGAAAGACCTTCGACCAATCAAAGATGTACCTCATCACGCCAAGCAGTTATGCTTGTAGGTGAATATACACTTATAGAGTACAACAACTTTATAACACTCCCTTAAAATTAATTTTAAAAGTTATTACTTTGTCAAAAATCAAGTTTTAAAAACGGTTAACTTGATGACGTCATCAAGGGGTGTTTATGACGTCAAATAATTTTTTTATACAATGTAAACTAAAGTGTAAACAATTATTTGCAAGACCTGTGGTCGGAAATGGCTTTATCTTTTATACTTTTGAATCTATGGACAATTAAATACAGGCTACAATTGACTGGCAAAGCGTCTATCCCTGAATATGTATATATATATATATCACGACAATCTGTCGTAAAACAGGGGTTCTAGAAAACCCATTTCCCGATACTCCTGAAACCTGAAACTTTTTTTGCAGTCGATTTGATCAACGTCTAGACGCCCTGAAAAATTTCAGATCTCTAACTCAATTTTAACATGGTTTTTAAGGCACCTGAATATGGCGATTTTGGGTTTTTTACCGAATTTCGTATAACAGTGCTGGCGAGTATTTTATGCAAATTTCTTAAAAATCTCAACATAACTATTTTTTATTCCTGTCATCTTTGACATCAAATTAGAATGTTTTGAACTAAAAATAATTCTGCTTAACGACTTCCGATGAGTCTTAATGCCTGGAAAACTCCTGCCGGAGGCGTCGGCCTTCGGCCGCCGCCTCCGGCCGGAGTGCACGCTTCGCGTGCACAAAAGAGGCTTGTAACGTGTACCAAAGGGGGTATAATAGTAAAGGGGGTATAATAGTAAATGGGGAACATAGTATACCCACAATAAATGCAACGGTCGTGCTTGCCAGCACTGTGATCTTAACTTCAGACAGTGTTTCGGAGGGTGACAGTTCCTTCGCTTAAGTACACCAAGACTTCTTTTGAGATGAGGATAAGAATTAGGACCGGTGTCCAGCTTTCCCTGTACGAAAGGTAAGTTATGTTTATCTCTGAGAGCACGTTTCCTTGATGTGTGTAGTGGATTTCACAGGTGTAGTGGATTTTTGTTCCGGGGTAGGTGAGACATGTTTTGGTGGTTAAATAGTTAGTACCTGTCTCAAACCATCAGAAAACCGGGTTTCGACCTCTTGACCCACTCAGGCAACTCCCAGGGGCCACGCCAATCCCAAAATTACTCCAATCTAGGACAAATCAAGGCTGTAAAATTTTACCCCTGTAGTGGATTTTGTTCCGGGGTAGGTGAGACATGTTTTGGTGGTTAAATAGTTAGTACCTGTCTCAAACCATCAGAAAAGCCGGGTTTCGACCTCTTGACCTACTCAGGCAACTCCCAGGGGCCACGCCCATCCGTAAATTACTCAAATCTAGGACAAATCAAGACTGTAAAATTTTACCCCTAGCTGTAGTGGATTTTTGTTCCGGGGTAGGTGAGACATGTTTTGGTGGTTTAATAGTTAGCACCTGTCCCAAATGGTGATTATGTTATTTATAATAATGTTATCTTAACTTCAGACAGAAATTCGAAGGGTGACAGTTCCATCTCTTAAATACACAAAAACTTCATTTGAGATGAGGATAAGAATTTCATTTTGGACCGGTGTCCGATGGAAGGGAAGTTATGTTTCTCTGTCAGCTTGCCAAATGTTTTCTATCCTTCACTGCAATCGTCAAAAACACGTAAGTATTAATATGATCTTAAATTAAGAATTCTATAACAGACGCGCGCGGCCCTGAATCTTACAGTGCCTCTATGTCAAGGTGACACCCTTTTCCAGCCATTCCATATAAAAAGAGATAGCTTAATTCACATTCTTCTACTGTTCTAGCAAGTTTTTGACTACTTATAATGTATAAAGCAAATAGCGTCAGTTAAGTAAAACAGAAAGCGCGCGCACATACGCGCATATTTTCTTTTTGGTTGTATTGTCGATATTATGTATTATTTATGTCTACCCAAATTTTTTCAGGGAGTCTACTTAAAGATCATGAACATTTTCAACATTCGTCTGAATAAACTGAAGGAACTGTAGCGTAAATATATCTGCAAAGACAGAACATTCTAACTTACTCACCGGATTGGCAATTGGATCGAGCTGTTTTGAAATGTGAAACAAATGAGTAACCTATAAATATTTGTTTTATTAGAATTGGTTTAACCCTTGACGGATGTTACTCGTCTAAATTTCTTCGAAGTAGCGCGCGCCGCTTTCTTCTCGAAATGCCCGATGGCAAGTGCTACGAAGTAGCGCGCGCCGGGCCAGATCATTAACAATGGTCAAGTTTAACCCCCCAGTTCCATGGCCAGATATTATGCCAAATTATTAGACGGAGGTCCATTTCCCGTAGATCATCTCCGGAGATGATTCTCCGGCTCCGTCAACTGTATTAGACGAAGATTAAGCTCTGAGCTCTCCGGGAATTTCTCGGAGATTAATTCATACAGAATCATACAGAATCAACAAAATTACCGTAGATGGTCTCCGGTCGTGGAACTGCAAACCGGAGAAATATCAGTAGACGATCTCCGTCTAATAATTTGGCATAATATCCGGCCGTGGAACTGGGGTGTAAGGAATTGCTTTCTTATGATTTAAATTATTTATAGCGTTGTAGGGCCCTGAAAGTAGATGTTTGGGGCCGTTCACATTACGTAATCGGAGCCCAATCGGAGAGAGAGGCGGTGTTTATATGATAACGTTTGTGTAATTTTAACACAATAACTAACTCGTAACTGTAAAACTGGTTATATAGGGAGTAAGGGAGCTAAAATAGGCTGAAAAGTGATGTCTTAACATATGATCGGAACGACTCTCAGCTGTTTTATTGTAATTGGTGTATCTTGCTCTTATTATTTAAATTTTAGCGTTGTCATGTAGGCCCTGAAAGCAGATGTTTGGGGCCTCGGGCCATTTACATTACGTAATCATTGCGAAGAGAGAGGCGGTCTTCATATGATGTTTGTTTGTGTAATTTTACGAGCCAGATGTTTTGTGTTTGAGTCAAAAGTTCTAAATATTCTGTTACCAGTGCACAGCAAGTTCATCGAGTGTAGTATGAACTTTCAGCACATAAGATAAGAACTACTGAGCAGCTGGATAGTTACTCATTCAGATGTGAAATCATTGTACATTTGTTTAATCGAAAGACGCTTTCAATTTTGTTCAAAACAGTGTTCACTTCAATTAAAATTAATGGGATCCACTTGATTATCCCAAAGCAACAAAATGGACAGAAAAGACTATAACAGTTTTGGAAACTACTTCGTAATAAGTGCTGCAGGCGATCGGCAAAATACGTACTCTTATCTTCACGCGCATTTCCAAATATGGTCATGCATGATGACGTCACACGCATAACAACGGGTTTATTTTGCAAAGTTATTTTTCTAGCTTGTTGCGCGCAGCATCAAAAACAGTTTTTCTGTAATAACTTTTTAAAATGAGAAGCCCCAATTTTCCTCCTGGGGAGGTAACGTTATTTTTACAAGACGAACATTTTGCAAAAAACCGGAAGTCGCTATCTTTTTTACTTCCGAAGTTAGGCCCCTAACGGTTAGGTTTCCTGGGTGCACTGTGGTGATGATTCTTAATGAACCCTACCAGTCTTAACAAAATATTTGAGTTTACCGACACTATAATCAAAATTAAATTGAATTGTGCAACTTAAAGTTGTTAATCCTATTATCCATCTAAGTAGGGTGTACCATTCAAGTCTCTACAAACTTCCCAAGCCAGCTCTGAAGGAAAGTGCACAGATAATAACTACTGAAAATGCATATATTACATAGGAATTTTTGAACCATAAAGAACTATGGGATCAAAGTGTTAAGATTTCACAAAACTTTTAGACGATTAACTCCGCAAATAAATTTTATAAATTCATGCACTTTTTCATTACCATGGAGCAGGTTTCGAGAAGGACAGACCTTAGAAACCTTTCATCAAATCTGTGATTGTTCAAATACTATACAATGATGCACAGGAAAACAAATTTTTTAGGAAAACAAATTTAAATTTTGGTATTTATTAATAACAATCAAAACATATCATATCATAAAAATAAAGCCGCGCGTTGGTTGACTGCCTCAGTAAGGTGAATAATTTAAGCTTGAAGGTGCCCTGCGCATTTACAGAACCTTATGCGGCGATCACATATTTATGAGGACCTGTGAGCGCCAAAATTAATTTAAAGTTTCTAGAAATCATACATCACTAGATGAGTTACTCATGCTTTTGGATTATAAGAGTGCGGATTGTCAGGTATTTCATTCATTCATACTTAATCGGTTTAAAGCTGTATATTTAGAACTCACTATTGTTTATACGTTGCATCATTTTAATACTTTCAGCGCTGCTATATAACAAATAATTTGAGTTCAGGGAAAGTATGTCGTAATTCCCTCAAAGGGGTGCCGTAAGTTTACACGTTGCTTTAACAGCTGATTGTTTTGACCTTTGCTGGCTGTTTGTTTTAACTTTTGCTGAGTATGGGTGACAACAACAAGAGTAACAAGAGAGCCTCATCTAATACCAATATGTCACGAATTCCTTCCCCTGCAGACAAAAAGGCAAAGTCCCGGATCAAGAACAACACAGGACTAGAGGTGAAGGGAAAAGATGGATCTTGTGAGAGTATTGTTGTAGACAGTGATGTAACACTCCCAAAGATTGACAGTTCACACAGGGACAAGACAAAATGTCCATGCAATAAGTCAATATCATCATGGAAGATTGACTGTGTAAAGTGCAAGCAATATTGGCACATAGATTGTCTAACTATGAACGGACTCAATCAGAAAAATATACAACAAACATCACACGCTACATCACTTTGTTGATTGATAAATGAAAGAGGAGGATGGGTTCGGGGTGATGAACTGGTCTGAACGTCTTTGTGATGGTGATCTGTGGAGTAAAGATAGAAGTGAGATTGGAGATTCTAATCTGACAATTTTGAACAGTTCTAATAGACATGTGTATTTGTAGAGGTTGTGGACGGTAAGAAGGCCGTTCTTGTTAAACAACGGCTTTGTATGCTCTTTTTCAAAGAATTCCCTTCCTAGGATTTGTTCATCTATACAACGTGTTCTGGCACATGTTCTAAATTTATCTAGATATGCTTCAAGGTCACCAAATAGTATTCTGATACATTTTTTCTGAGTGATGAAGATAGGTTGAAGCATATTGTTACTCGACCCACCCCATACCGATATTCCAAATCTTAGGTGTGACTCAAATAACGTGTGGTACAATTCTTTATGGTGTTTTTTCGGGATAACGTGTCGTATTCTACTGAGTCTTCCGATCTCACACCTAAGTTTCGAGTTGAGGGCTCTTATTTGAACATCCCATTTTAGCTTTTCGTCAATAATAACACCTAAAAACTTGGTCTCTTTAACTTGCTTTATTACCGTATTATCCAGAGTTAGTATATATTCTGATTCGTTATCTGCCTCATTATCAGTAGCTGTACATGACGGCTTGAAGTGAATGTAGCAGCATTTCTTTATATTTATATGTAATAGATTGCATTTCATGTACTGGTGTAACAAACGGAGAATTTCGTTTGCTCTTTCATACAGTTTTTTTCTACATTCATCTACTACGAATATGTTTGTGTCATCTGCAAATAGTATGAACTTGCCCAGATCAGTTGTTCTAAATAAGTCGTTAACATATATTATAAATAGCAAGGGTCCGAGACAAGAGCCTTGGGGAACTCCAAAGAGAACAATTGGCGTTTCCACGTATTCCATAGTTGTCTAGTTTATTAAGTAGTTTTTCATGTGAGATCGTGTCGAACGCTTTAGATAGATCAATAAATATTCCAAGTACATGCAGTTTTTTGCTAAGACAGGATTCTATGTAATTCACTGAGGAGTTGAGGGCATGGCTTGTGGAGTGATTTTTTCTAAATCCGTACTGGTTCTCGTAAATCATTTTCTGGGACTGAAAGAAGCTATACAGTCTTTTGTAAATAATTTTTTCAAATATCTTACCAAAAACAGCTAAGGTTGATACTGGCCTATAGTTTTCCAGCAATTCCTCATTATCCTTCTTATAGATCGGACCGATTCTACCAGTCTTTAAATCATCTGGGAATACTCCATTCCTCATGCATTCACTGTATAATAAAGATAGTATAGGACAGATCACTTTAGACGATTCTTTAACTACATGTATTGGGATGTCGGATGACTTCCCATTCTTCAGTTCAGATATAATCATTCTAACCTCGTCAGCTGTACAGTCATTCATGAAAATACTGGACGTGTTTGCTCTAGGCAGGTAGTCATAAAAACTAGGAAGATTGTTAATAGTTAGTTCTCCAATTTCATTATATGCCCCGTTTAAATTAGACGCTAGAGAAACAAAATACTTATTAAATTCATTGGCTATTACTCTACGATTGGTTATCTTCTCATTGTTTATAGTAAACAGTGGTTTTATTTGCCGTTTCTGTTTGCCCCGTATTTGATTAATCAGTTCCCATGTCTTCTTACTATTACCGTTTGTGTCTGTAAATTTTCCCATAAAATACTTAGTTTGAACATCTTTGCGATCTTTTTTAACCATCCTTCTATAATCCTTATAAGTTTTGTATCTAGAACGTTTTTCACAACATTTCAAGCATTGACATGTTCCACCTTTATAATCAGTTTCACCAAGTTAAACCAGTGGCGTAACAAAGGGCCCCGCCGACCCCAGCTTTTTTCAGCGGGGGGGGGGGGGGGGGGGGGCTCCAACAGGCAATGTTACGCCAGTGGTTTGGGAGTGATTATTAGGAGAGATTTATACATCTGATATCAACGAATTAATATTATATATAATGATCCAAAACAACAAAATTTTCATGACAGAAGAAACAAGGTGTGACTGAAAGTTCACATTTAGTCACAGATTCTTGTCAATTGTTTGAAACTTTTAGAAAATATAGAGAGCATTTTTCAAAACATCATAAGTGATTTTAAAGACAAACCCTTTTGTCTGTTATCCTCATTTCCTGAATACAAACTATTGTAGGTGTTATGAGTGGTTGTGTGAATGAGACGACAGAGACTTGACAAATAGGGATGCATCCTCTATAGCTGCAGGGAGCTGTTATCATCTATTCGTTTTAACGTGTTTTAATGAAAAATGAATCCAATGTCACATCACCTGATGAGCTCAGCAGTTTTGTCAACACGGTGGTGTCCATGAAACAGTCCCTTCATACAAGGAAATGGGCTTCAATTTATAAGAGATCTTCTGTATCGAATACATCAACACCCTGCTCCTTAAGTCGGCATGAGGAACAATCTATTAAACATGATATTGTTAGCGATACACCAACTTCTCCCACCATTCCTGATGACATTATAGAGGAACAGGTTATTAGCTGAATATTCTTATTCTTATCAAGAAAGACTATGTACGGTTTTCAATGGAACTTGAGAGGAGAAATTGTGTCAATTGTTGTTGTACATATTTGAAGTAGATGGTTTGCAATTGAGGAATTCCATTAGTGGACCCATAACAAGATATATGTGATCTAGACAATTTATTTAGATTCCAATGTATTTTCGATTCCAATATGATTTAACTTGCCATTACTTTCAGCAATTTCAAAATTTCAATGTAGAAACAGAAGAAAGTCAACCTGAAGTGAGTAGCGAATATGAGCTCTCTTCAAGGTCTAAAAGAAAAATGAGCCGTGATCCGGGTATTTTCGACGGGGCTACCAGAGCTGTAACAGAAATGTTGGCTGGTGTCAGTGGCGTTGATATTTTCTCTGATACAGAGGATGATTTCAGCAACGAAATAACGATGAAAGTAAGTTTTCTTGTCAGATTTTATCAATTCAAATTAAATTCGACTGTTTAGAGTCTAACCACCCCATAATCTATGACTGAATGATATTTATCCGATTTCAGCAAATTATAAATATTTCTTAATTTGTGAAATTTCTTGCCCTAATAAATGTAACACCCAACCAGAGACAATCAGAAAAACAAATTGCTGACGTCCCAAACGGATTTAAAAGGAGAAACACTCGCCGATTGCAAGGCCCAAGTGGTGAAAAGATAATACTTCACAACAAGAGCGGTGCGGGAACATTGACAAGAGACATGGCCGGTTCAAAATGTATCTTAGATGTGGAGCAGGAGGACAAGGCAATGTTTGGATTTGTTGAAAAAGTTCTGGACACAAGCAATATTCAATCTTTGAATGGGTCACATGTTGATGTTGATGGAGCCAGAGAAGTAAAGACTAACGGAAAGGTGTCGTTCAGTAATGGTACAAATTCCCATCGTGAAGACAATGAACATCAGAGCAGTTTTGGAAAGCCACTATTGGCCTCTACTTTTATAACCGACAAGGTAAGATTATTCTCAACAAGTTTTTCGAATTTAAGGGAAAAAAGTACTATTAATATTATATTAAAATGTCCGTGATCTTAACTTCTTTTCTGAAATAAAATATCTAATTAAAAATGACCGTTTACATAGTAGATCAGCAGGGTTTTGCAATTTTCAAATCTTCCTCTGTCAGCAAATTTACTCATGTTTACATCTGGGAGGGGGGGGGGGGCATTGTTTAAAACATATAAGTGATCCGAAAAGTTTGTTTAGTAGGAGCTTTCAAAATACACCGTCTTACATATTTACAAATTTCATTAATTTAAATACTCCCTCCGTGAAGCACCTCTTCCTAGAATGCTGACGTCATATGACGTGAATCCTCCCTAAAGTGCTTAGATTAGCAATGTTGTTATATATCATCATAATATCATGAAGGTAATTTACTTATTGCATACACCAGCTATATACTACATATCGCAGTGACATACCGCAGTCATAACCACTTCATAATTATAAATCCCTCATAATTATAAATCCCCCGTAATTATAACCCCCTAAAATAAACAACAAAACCAGACTGGCGAGGATGATGCGGACAGCGTAGACAGCTCAGAAAACAGCCCCAGCGTTTTAGGAAGCCCACCACGTGACATGTCGTTCGACAGCACTGACCTGCCACTCTATAATAGGGTGAGTAATGATAACTTTGTAATTATAAAACTATTTTAGGTGATGGTTGTATGAAATGTGTACAGTTCCAGAGCCTTCGTGGTCGAATATGGGAACCACCAAATCGTAGACGTCTGGTGACGAGTATTTAGGGGAAGCTCAAGCATTACCCGTTTAATAAATTAACTTATTTTTAGAAGCACAGTTCAAATTTGCTTTATCTTTGTCGAGTAAGTGGGATATTTATTTTTGGAAGTAGGCTTACTGAGAAAATAGCAGCTAGTTAGGTGGTGCGTTTAGGGTTCAAGTCATTAAGGTCGGCGCCATTTCATTAACTCTGTCAGTTATATAAAGCTCATATCAAGCCTTCATAATGATGCGATAAAAGGAACCATTCCCACATGCCATGCCTTCCCTTCACAGAATTGTGAAGTGGGTACTCATTTTCTGCAGTTGACTGCTTTCAAATTATTCCAAATATGGTGCCATTTAAAAGATCAAAGAATCTTTGCCTGCGATTTGCTTCGCTTTTTCGTGACAGCATTTGTAGTATTCGATTCAGTTGGTTTCTATCTCGATTGAACATCAGCGGATTGGTTGCTCTGATTGATTTTAGTAGTTTTACTAGTTCCACTGCACTGTTCAGCTGTTACTTTCGGTGATGTCATATGGAATTTGTTACTTAGTTCTGTTTAAAGTTTCTATCGTTACTTTCTACTAAGGTGTCTAGAGTTGTGTTAGGTACAGGGTTATGAACACAAATAAAAAGATTTCTAAGGTATAGGTACACGTTCCGTCAGAAAATATTTTATACTGATTAAATTTTGCTACAGCGACCTGCGATTCCATTACGATATCGCTAAAATTTAAGTAACGTAAGACTTCGTGGGAATCCTTCGACATATAATTGGATTCCGCGTCGTTTTCTACTTGAATCTATCGGTAAACTATATTATATATCTATATTCTATATATTTTATAACCCACGCTATATGGAACTGGATACTGGTGGGGAAGTGAACCATATTTGCACAATGCATTGACTTTGACACGTAACAGAGACAGTGGCTTTTAATCGGCCAATGCTGGAAGCTGGTTGGATTGTCACTATCAAGCAGATTGCATATCCCACCAGTATCCAAAAATATAATTTGCTTATGTTCTATTCCCAAAGAACTTGATTTTCAGTTCTGAAAGCAATTTCATAAAATCAATGGTATGTTGCATTGTTCTGTAAATTTGAGTGTTCTGTGTTGCGGTATTGTACTAAACAGATCAGAAAATTCTACCGGGCTGTTCATTAGCTAATAAGATGAATTACTCGTTGCTGACTAAGAATCCATGAACCGACGAGAAGTTGCTTCTTCTAATCGATCAATCATCTCACACTTGCCCTGCTTTTCTTGAAACAATATCATGGTGATTATGGTGCCTATCAAGAAATGTGGGAACGTTCTGATTTTAGGGCACTGCCTGAATCATGATAAAAACATGGCCGCTTCTCTACCTTAAATTATCATGTTTATAAATGCTGTGATAATTTGTCCGAATCACCCTTCTGACTCCTCCTCCTCAGGTAGCCCCAATCCCCCGTATACTATCGTTACAAGGAAACTCCAGCAAGAGACCCGGAGATGATGGAACTACAAGCGACAGTGAGGACATGTACTCATCCCACAACTCATCTCAGTAAGTCTTTGTAGTGGTCCACATCCCATAACTCATCTCAGTAAGTCTTTCTAGTGGTCCACATCCCACAACTCATCTCAGTAAGTCTTTGTAGTGGTCCATATCCCACAACTAATCTCAGTAAGTCTTTGTAATGGTCCACATCCCATAACTCATCTCAGTAAGTCTTTGTAGTGGTCCACATCCCACAACTCATCTCAGTAAGTCTTTGTAGTGGTCCACATCCCACAACACATCTCAGTAAGTCTTTGCAGTGGTCCACATCCCACAACTCATCTCAGTAAGTCTTTGTAGTGGTCCACATCCCACAACTCATCTCAGTAAGTCTTTGTAGTGGTCCACATCCCACAACTCATCTCAGTAAGTCTTTGTAGTGATCCACATCCCACAACTTATCTCAGTAAGTCTTTGTAGTGGTCCACATCCCACAACTCATCTCAGTAAGTCTTTGTAGTGGTCCACATCCCATAACTCATCTCAGTAAGTCTTTGTAGTGGTCCACATCCCACAACTCATCTCAGTAAGTTTTTGTAGTGGTCCACATCCCATAACTCATCTTAGTAATCTGAGAGCTTCACTTTAGATTCACATCCTCTGACTTACATTTCACCATATTCAGTCATTCACTGTTAGCACTGTTAGCACTGTTAGCACTGTTAGCACTGTTAGCACTGTTAGCACTGTTAGCACTGTTAGCACTGTTAGCACTGTTAGCACTCACCAGCTACACAGATAATTTCCAGAATAATTAAAATCAACCAGGCCATGGCAATAATTATATTCCGATCTGATAATTATAGTAATGATTGTAATAATATAATTGTAATAATATAATTGTAATTCCCCCATAAAACTGAGGTGTTTTCGTCAGAAATTAGTAAAAGTGTAACAATTCCCCTCAGAGCGGATCTGATGAACAGTATCCTACCTCCAATACACAGTCAGAGTGTGAGAACCACAGTACACACAGAGGAACCCGACTTTGAGGAGCTGGAGAGGTACTTCCCAAACCATCAGATGTCACTTTTCATCGGAACCTGGAACATGCACAGCGAGGTAGTTACTTATTATATGTATTTAATATAAAATCGTATTTTATTTAGCCCGAATTAATTTGCATGTTTCGTCACACGTAGCCAAGCTCAACACCAATCACCATTGGCCATCGTTGATAGTTCATACGATAGTTCTAAACGACCAACTTGCCGTTCATACTCTATTTAATCGCAGGTATTTATCAAATTGCTTTTTCTGAATTGCCCACTGAATTACAATAAACTTAGAGCCACCAATAAATTGTTAACTGCCAGTAAATGTACACGACAGTGAGTAGTTGAGTACATGATGAACTGGCCGCGTGATAAAGTCATGTTGTGATAATGACTGAGTGTATGCTTGTTCAGCGCAATTTCACATATCTCGGGCCGGTTTGTCAAGCATCTAATTCATTTCAAATCTTTACTTCGTCGAGGAATGTATTCAAGCTGTGGACACGGCTTCAGCGAATAGTGATAGCTTTTAAATCCACGTTTTACCGTTCAACTAACGGGGGAAGACGCCAGGGTTGCATAAATTCTATTCAAATTAGGGATTTTGTCGATTTTAAGTTACCGTGAAACACTGAGAACAGAGACCACAGAGACCAGAGCTAGAGCTTTTCTCTGTATTGAGTCACATCGTTTATCGATCGTTATCATCTTAACAATACTCGAATCCCGGTTACCAAGATCCATTTTACCATCCATTTTTTATGGAGCTTCATCGAGCACTGTAATAACTAAAATACTGCAGGTAATTATTCCACCAGATGTCGGATCTGGAGCTTAAATGATGATAAGACTATTTTAATTTATATATACGTACGTAAAGTGTATATATACATTTAAGCACATTATAGCCTATATAATATATATGTACGTTTTAAATACTATGTGGTTTACATTGTAAGAATGTGGCCATGATCATGAGTTATACTTTAAATACTATTAGTAAATACTTTTTATTGATCTGATACCGATTTAGACACTCAACAGATGTTAACTTCATCCTCTGTTCGACTAAAGTACTAATAAGATGTAATAACGTTATTTCTTTAAAGGAATTGATGTAGCTCTACATTATCTTAAGGGGGCAGGGGGGGGGTCTTCATGGAAATTTTCTCAAAATCGACTTTTTAGTTGTTTCTGATAGATGGGAGTGATATCTATCAGATGCTTTTAATCCGATAGAAAAATATTGCTCCTAGCAGAAATTATCGCCGGTAGAAGGTCAGCGCTTGTGTGTAATTGTATTGCGCGAGCGATTTTTGATCGCGTGCCCTGAAAATCGAGTCTAAAAATCTATCTCCTCCTACATTTTTTGAGCAATCACCCTCAAACTTTCAGGATATGTTCTAGGGATCATTTAGAAGAGATTGTCCAGGCAAAATTTTGAGATAGGCCTTTAAAAATTTTTTATTCGATTTTGAAAATCTTGGACCTGGTTTTTTGACGATTTTTCGAGGTCCAAGATTTTCAAAATCGAATAAAAAATGTTTAAAGGCCTATCTCAAAATTTTGCCTGGACAATCCCTTCTAAATAATCCTTAGAAAATATCCTGAAAGTTTGAGGGTGATTGCTCAAAAAATGTAGGAGAAGATAGATTTTTAGACTCGATTTTCAGGGCACGCGATCAAAAATCGCTCGCGCAATACAATTACACACAAGCGCTGACCTTTTACCGGTGATAATTTCGGCTAGGAACAATATTTTTCTATCGGATTAAAAGCATCTGATAGATATCACTCCCCTCTATCAGAAACAACTAAAAAGTCGATTTTGAGAAAATTTCCATGAAGACCCCCCCCCCCCTGCCCCCTTAAACAGATGAAACACTATTGCACACAAAAAAGATTATTGTAATATATTGAACTTATTTATTTCTAAGTAAGAACAGGATTTAGGGTATTTTCAACATATTAGAATATAATATTACCTAAATGGGAAAAACCACTAATATAATAAACAGAAATAAATCACGAATCATGAAGAAGTCCGTCAAAGAGCGTTACACATTATCTCCTAAGCACAGAGTTTCATGCTGGTCATGCCCTCAGAAGAATCTGCAGACAAAAATGTCTGGTATGTGTTCTCGAAGAGGACGGGTCTCCCACCCTTCTTTTCCACAGCAATGACATCAAAATACCACGCATCACTCTCATCAGCCTTCAACGTCACACACTTCACAGTTCCCATATCAGGCATGTTTCCCAGCACAAACTCATCAAATACTCCTTCTTTAAAACTCCCCTCTTTCGGGTCAATGTAGCTGGTGTAAGCAAACTCTCCGTTCTCCCCCTCCAGCATCATACTGAGCCCGATACTGCTGCTGCCCGCATTAGCAACAGTACCAGTTACAGTGGTCACAGTGTAGGTCATGTCTCCCTGGAAGGACAGTGTCACCTTGGTAACACCCTCATCCAAGTCACCTGACAGTACCTGCTTCTTCACGTTGTAAAAGTACCTGGTCTCTCTGAAGGTCTGGGACCTCACACTCACCCAGTCAAAGAGGAATGCGTCAGAGCCCCTTATACTCAGTTCCAGTCCCTGTATCAGCATTACCTCCCCTAGTTGCAGCGAGTATTTGTCAGTGTGACCTGTCTGGAAATCATTGTGTCCGCTGTTATCCAGCTGACTTGATACGGCGCCTCGTTCCCCGAGGATCTTCAGGTCAATAGCACTGTCTGTTCCACTGTGCGCCAAACTGGAGGTTTTCACAGTGACCGAGTACCAGGTGGCAGAGTTGAGTCCCACAGAGAGAGAAATAAGGAATAGTGACAGCAGCATCGCTAACTCGTTTATCAGAAACAGGAAGGGTTATGAAAACAAGTTTCGCATCGCATTTTATAGTTATTTTTTACGTTCTTTTAATTATGATAAGTAGCGGGTAGAGTGGTAGCGTTCTTTGTCGGTGACTCGTTGTCACAAAGAAGGATTCAATCCGAGACATTTCTCTTTGTTTCCAAGTTATGGCCTGTACTTTTTAAGGAACCAGCCGGATCTACCCTCTATCATGTTATATTTATTGTCAAGTAAAAGAAAAGGTCCCCATAAAATTAAAGAGAAAACCAGCTGATCCTTGAAAACTAATGTCTAATGTCAACTTGAATAACAGAATTACTCCACCCTTGGCCCCTTGTGTCCAACGCCCTCGTGCGTCACGCTTCTATAAATGTGATAGAACTGTGAAGTGTGAGTGAAGTAAAACGACGAAATTCCACTTGTTTTTTTGGATAAAAACGGTTGCAATGTGAGTGCTATCAAGTAGAGCAAAGTGGATGTTATTGCTACAATTCACTTTCAAGTCTTAATCACGTGATCTTTAGTTTTACCTTACTCCCTGAAATTATCTTTATCTATTCCAGAAGGACGTTCCTCTGCTTGTTGAAGAGTTCCTGATGCCACCTGAGTGCGAGTACTTACAGGACATGTACGTTATAGGAACACAGGAGTGTACCCCTCACAAGTAAGCTCTTGTAACTAGGGTGTTATTGAGTTTTTAGAGTTAGTTTTTAGAGTGAGTTTTTAGAGTTAGTTTTTAGAGTTAGTTTTTAGAGTTAGTTTTTAGAGTTAGTTTTTAGACTTAGTTTTGAGACTTAGTTTTTAGAGTTAGTTTTTAGAGTTAGTTTTTAGAGTTTTTAGAGTGAGTTTTAGTATATCTAGTTAACAGGAGGATTTGATCTAGTTCTCAATTAGTTGTTAATTATTTGTTAATTATTTGTTAATTATTTGTTAATCATTTGGTTATTACTTGTTACTTATTTACTAATTACAGGAGGGAGTGGGAGGTGACGGTACAAGCAACACTGGGCCCCACCCACGTCCTCGTGAGGTCAGAGAGTCTGGGAGACATTCATCTCATCATTCTAGTGAGAAGAGAGATGATATGGATCATCAGGGGTCAGTTTCGTTTATCTTTTAGTTCGTCATAATAACATGCTCATTAGGAGTCAGTCTCCTTTAGATCGTCATAATAATATGCAATCATCATTCATCAGGCATTGTTATGATTAAATATGCTTTATCAATACGGTGACTGAATACTGATGCGTCTAATTTACTTTTAAAATCTTATCATACAGCACTGAAGATAACACTGCCTCTAAATAGAATATTTACCTGTCTATGATGGCAGATTTGAAAATATACTGAATCCAGAGTCCAGTGAAATTGAACCACCCGCCCGGCCGCCCTAACATCAGCTGATATCATGCTGATATACACACGGACGACAAAACATGGACATGACCAATGTTTTGAATATAACACGCATTCTTTAACACTGTCAATAACAGTTCACTCTTTACATGCTTTGGAATAACAAGCAAAAAATATTCAGCACAGAATCATTGGCGATATGTTCTTAGTATCGCTAGATGCAAGTAACAAGTGCATGAAAAATGAAAATTGCGGACAAATTCTTGCGATGCAAGAATATTCTGGTAAAAATCTTTCTCGTGTGTGGTGGCTGTTAAATTTTCACTTATATCGGACTAAACCAATTAACATTAAACATTCCAATTTGAATACAAGATTTTATCTTTTCGATTAATGTATTCTGCTTATATTTCTGTTGATATGAACGTTTTTATCCTCGTAAAATTCTGTCCATAACCAAACTCGGAACAAAACCACTTTAAAATCACCAATTGTATGAACTACGAGTATGAGGTGCAGTTGCGTCACTATGACGACAATAGCAAAGTAACTTGTACCTACTTAAATACGTCTTTGTGTACTCTAACTACCAAAAAGTATAAAGCCTTAAATGGTGTCTGTTTAGTTCGTTATGAGGAGGATATATAAATTATTGGTACCTAACCACTAACCAGTTACGAATGTGCCTGTATTATATGCACTTAAATAAATACCCCAAAAATAGAATCAAGCCATTCAAAACATAACTGCTTTTTAAATAGATTATAACATACCTAATAAAACCCACAACACAGAAAAATTCAGAGCCTCAGAAGATTTTGATGAGTTACACCACATCGTATTTTTACTTATTAGTACAATGTAGAATGCAGTCAGACAGTAAAAAAACTGCTGTTTTTCGACAAGACATTACTGATATCTCCAATTAAAAGCTATACTAACTAACAGTTACTATCTTTAATTCCCAGATGTGCAGAGCAGCACAGTAGCATGTGGTGCAGGAGGAGTTATGAGGAATAAGGGAGCTGTTGGGATCATCCTTACCATCTTCGGGAGCTCAATGCTCTTTATCACCGCTCATCTCAGAGGTTTTGTTTGCATATTGTCATGGTTATCTTGGTTTTATATACAGGGTGTACCGCATAAGATGTGACTTTTTCCACTTTAATATACATGTGCTATTCATAGGGCTTTTTGTTTTTATAAGGCCTTCTCCACAGCTAGCTTATAACAATGGATTTTTAAAACTAGCCAAAACGTTGTTCTAAAAGGATCTCAGCCGAATCAAACTCTTACTGATTTTTGTTATTTTGTTTAGCCCACACGACCAAAGTGAAAGAACGTAATGTTGACGCAGTGCGGATCTCAACCTCACTGGACTTCTCCCGGTACAGCGTGAAACAGACCCCGGGAGATGAGGTACCTCCTGACTGCACTGAGAATGTAAGAGTTTTAGAATTGTAGCCTTTTTAGCTGCACTGAGAATGTAAGAGTTTTAGAATTGTAGCCTTTTTAGCTGCACTGAGAATGTAAGAGTTTTAGAATTGTAGCCTTTATAGCTGCACTGAGAATGTAAGAGTTTTACAATTGTAGCCTTATTGGCGCAGTCATTGAATAGGTTTTTAATCTTTGACCAATGACTGTGATAAGCTGTTCCTTCAGACTGATGATAAGTTTGATCAGTGATCATTCTATCGATATTCAATCGTTTAATCATCCTAATATCTAATCAGCGGATTGTTAATTCATACTAATATGTAACACTAAAATGTTTGTTGTGAGATATCTTAGATTTCCACACCTAATAAAACCCTAAAAGCTGTGGATAATTAAATGCCCTTAAACTGTTACTATAAATAGAATTGTGCAGGTTGACTGCGTGTTCTGGTCGGGAGATTTGAACTACCGTGTCACGTGCGAGAGAGATGTGGCAGAGAAGGCAATCCAGAACAGCAATTTGGAGGTGAGAACCAGCCAGAAACTTAATATCTAAAGCAGCCATAACTTCGGCTACGGTCAATATTTCGGGATATTTTGTATCATCCACCACATGAAGTCCTGTTTCCTAAGGAACACGATGTTATCATCTGCATAACCCAAATATCCACCCTCATGTAGTCATGTCCACCCTCATTTCCACCCTCATGTCCACCCTCATGTCCACCCTCATGTCCACCCTCATGTCCACCCTCATTTCCACCCTCATGTCCACCCTCATGTCCACTCTCATTTCCACCCTCAATTCCACCCTCATGTCCACCCTCGGCCTCAGTGGTGGGGCTTCTTTTTTTGGATACTGGCCAGATTAAGGGAAAATAAGTCTCAGGTGGCACGCTAACCGTATTTAACCTCTGGTGCAACCCAAGATTTTTAGTTCCCTAATTGAGCATTTCCCGTAAGGACGTTGTATAAAACGTAATATTTGGAAATTCGAGATTCTTCAGAAATGATAACGAATGATTCAGGAATTCATTGAAACCACACAATAGTACACATTGAGACTGGGATATTATTGTCTATAGTAACTACTGGCAGTTATTTCATTCATTCACTGGTGCAACCTGTAAATGGTGAATATGCTGCTTCATGATGTATAAATTTGTGGTTGGCATGGTGACACTTCTTCTGCTGTAATATGGGGCTATGAAAATGAATTATCAGATATTTTTATAAGAGGGTGACATAATGTGAATATGATATGTAGGAATAGACCATAGCCATGGTTATAAGATGTTTAATGTTTAGCGTGTTTATCCTGCTTTACATATTAAAATCGATTCATATTTATTAAATCATCGAGAATTAAGAATTTGTAATACTCTTTAAATCTCAAAATTTTTGTTTTATTAAATCTTCCTAATGCAAGTGTGAATTTAGAACCAAACATTTTCAGCCGTTGATAAAAAATGATCAGCTGCTTGAACAAATCAGAGAAAAAGCTGCATTCCGGGGTTTCAGTGAGGCTCCCATCAGATTTCCTCCGACATTCAAGTTTGATCCAGGGAGTTCAGAGTATGACACAAGTGCCAAGCAGCGTGTTCCTAGCTGGACGGTAATACTTGACATTTTATTACTTTCCTTCTGTTGTTCCTGTTGTTCCTGTTGTTCCTGTTGTTCCTGTTGTTCCTGTTGTTCCTGTTGTTCCTGTTGCTCCTGTTGTTCCTGTTGCTCCTGTTGTTCCTGTTGTTGCTGTTGTTCCTGTTGTTCATGTTGTTCCTGTTGTTCCTGTTGTTCCTGTTGTTCCTATCCATAACATCAACTAACTCATCAAGTTGTTACTCGAATGATTTATCTTCAGTAATGATGATTTAATAACTGAAGATGAAACATTTCTGTGGAAGTATAGTCCTGTAAATTATTCATCTTATTATTTACAGGATCGAATATTGTACAAATCTCGACAAGATTCCATTACCCCTCAAATATACCACTACTGTCCAAACCTCACTTTCTCTGACCACAGGTATTCTTAACTTACATAATCATGTTATGAAATTTCCGGTTTAATATTGTTTTTTAAATTCTTGTTTCGGCTGAACTAAATGTAGGTGTTGTCTAATATATAACGTATCTAAAAACATTTCTTTCAGACCCGTTTTCGGAGTGTATTTAGTGACTTTAAAACCTTCCCCAATATCGTGAGTACAATTGTTTCCGATGATCCAGAAGTTTTGTAAGCGAATAAATTTGCTTAAAAGAGAAATTGTTAACTAAATCGTGAAACCTTTAGAACAGAAGTTGTAATTTCCATTTGCATTATATATGCCATCGTTAAATGATATAATCCTTTCGCAGGTCAACACTGCGAGCCACAGGGTGGTTTGACAAAAGAGCTTATGCTAGAGGTAAGAAAATAATGGTTTTTCGAACAACTAGATTTTTACAATTTAGAGCGTATTTAGAATATGCTATTCCCATATTCCATGAACTCTGCTTATTTTGTACACTTTTTCAGTAACACTTTGCGTAAAGCGCGAAACAAAAATTCTATGCCAAATTTTCACTGCTCTACGTTTGTTCGATAGAAATGAACGCGCGTCGCGCGCAATATTTAGTTATTACAAGCACCAAGTTGATTTTATTATATTTGTTGGCCCTAGCAACCCTCATAATTGCTTAACCGTTCAAACAAGATGATCTAAAAACGGAGATTTAAATTACAATGACTTATTGTATCCTTAATAAGTGATCGATTATGAACTATAAAGAGCTGTCTTGAGAATCATGTATCATATTTGCTTACGAATATACTCAACCGCTGCATGTTATTTTAGTAAATTACTTGATTACAATCGCATTTTATGTTTCAGGCATGAAGCGGCGTCAAATGTACTCTAAGTCTAGGGCTACCGGAAACGAAGGTAGCTCAATGGACAATCGAAAACTAAAACAATCCTCATTTGTTATGAAAGCTGTTAACACGCCTGTAAAGAAAGTAATGGCTAATCATAAGAGCAGCATTGTTTGTTCTATAATGTAGCGAGTACTTATGGGTAGGAACTAGGAATTAGGGAAATTTCAAACTTTTTTGGAGGTTGTGAATTAAATTTTGACATGATTTAAATTGCTTGTACTCATAGTTTTAATCTGATTGATAGTTGCTAAAATAATGTTACTGGTTGTTAAGAACATTTTTATCAGTTTTATAAACGTAGTCGATAATGATTGATGCCTGAGATCATGAAATATCAACGAACGGCCAAGTTTATATTTGTTAACCGTTTTTGTTAGAATTAATTTTTCTATTCCCTGCATGATGCATCACTTTAACACTGACTTAATTAATCTCTTTAGTCCCTGTACCGGAAATACCTTGATTAATTATTCCTAACGATGTACGCTAATAAGATTCTTCTCCCAATATCGAGACCAGGTAATCAGATTTATTCCCGATTTATATAGTTCTCGCGACCTATGCCGACTTTTTATCATGTTTGTATTATCAAACTAGACAGATTAGATTGTATATATTATATCAGGATTGTAATATACGAGACGGTTGCTATGTTTTATGTATAATTTTGTGTGGAAACGAAAACAATTTTCTGTTTTTTGTCCTGTCGTAACATTGATTCTTTAACCACTTCTATCTCTGTAATTAACAATTTAAGTTTCCCAAGCAAAATTCTAAAAAGTCACCATGCTGTCGAAAAAGAATGCTCCTGACACGAATAAAATAAAATCAGACATCTAAAAATATATCACACTGAAAGTTCAAATCATGAGCACACATACGTATTGTTTATAGCTACAAAGTCTAGAAATACTACCTGTTTGCAACATATTTTGCACTGGCCATATCATGAGCAATGTGGTATGCATGATTTCAAATTTTAAATTTGATTATTTTAGATGAACACTAGTAAATAATTTAAATACCATAATACCCAAGTAAAAGTTATGGTTTGTATGGAGGAGGTGGTGTAGTTAAATGAGCAGCACCAGCTTGAGGCTGATCGTTATCTTTAGATACACTGTCGTAAGACGGGGGTTGTTGGGAGGTGATGGTTGTATTCTCAGAAGGTTCCTCTCCGTGACGTAAGGGACACAGAGGTTGTGGTCTGTAGAGGGAACCCCCTGTACCTCGCCCTGATTGGAGGGTGGGAGGTTTAGTTTGACATTGGGTTGGAGTTAACATATCCTGTCACTTCCACGTCAATTAATTTCAATTTTGAATAATATACAGTATGGAACTTGACATGTTATTAAACACCGTCTCAAAGAAATGAATGTAAATTATTGAATCAAACGGAAGACTGTATACCTTCAGAAATGGCAATCATCTGGTTGATCCTAAACAACTCCTCTTCTTCAGCCTCATCTTCCATATTCTTCTTCCACTGTAGACAGCAGATAACCAACATTACGAGTATAAACAGCATCGACAGTACTACCAACACCTCCGTGTAGCTGAAATTAAATAATATAATCACAGTTTATTTCAGTTTCATTTTAATCGATACAAAAATATCTCATTTTCAACTAAATAAAAATGCGGTAAAAACGAGATGAACTGACTGAGTTTTAAGGTAGTAGACGATGTTTCCACTCCAATTGAAATGATGGCTACCGTGGTGGTTGCCTTGGTCTCCTTGTGAGCCATATCCCGTGTTCATGTACGCCTCCTTCTCCCTGCAGCAGCTTTTTGCACCGTAGTAGATACAACAGATCTGATGCTCGGGACAGCTGAAGGTTTTAGTCAGAATGCGATGTTGAGCAACGATATAGTAATTAGTAGTAAAAAGATCACTGGTGGAATTTTCAAGAGTGCACTCAGAGTAAAGAATACAGCTGTTTCAGGTATAATTGCTCGGGCGTTGATAATGTTCTGACCGTCAAAAATAGAATCTACTTAACATCTTTTATTATAGGGACACAGTACACCTTTCATTTACCAGATCTAATGCTCAAAATTTAAAACCCATCGCTTTTCGACGACAAGCATTTAATTCTGATCTTTGTGCACGGATATCCAACAAATTGTGACATGTCACAACTTAATATGTCGCAAAGTAATCAAAAACTTGGTCTATACCGATAAACATAATATATTTAATGTTCTTTTTGCCAAGCTTAAGATTATTATAATTTATTTGACTATAAATTAAATTAATTTCATGCAAAATATCCGGTAAAATGAGTGGACTTACTTCCAGTGCTCGAAGGAGAAGGTGTTAGCGTTGTAAAATGTGCATGATGCCACCTCTTTTATCTCCACTAACTGTTAAAAGAAAAAGTAAAAATCACCACAGTAATATAATTATAATATTCGGTCCTTGTTTAATGTTTATCGGTAATCAGCAAGACAGCAGAATAAGCTAAAATAAGATGATAAAGTCGTCATCTCTATTATACAGTAATTGACTGAATGACTGCAATAGGTGAATATTTAAAACGATCGGGGAAGGCAAATTTATATTTTACTGACACTGAAGCCAATGAAATATAAAGAATTATAGCCAATCCCCGCCCCGATGAGGCGGCCCCATTATTAGCTGGCATGAGCTCAATCGATCGGTAATATAGTTTTTACAATAAGGTCAGAATCAGCGGATGAATAATGTAAAATGTAAAACTAAATAACTCAGAAGCTAGCAGTAAAGAACTCGTGGTGGTTGCTCTATATAATATCCCTCGTAACATTACATTTTAAGATTTAGTTTCACCCTTTTGTAATTGTAGATTGTTTGTAAGAGTAAGTTTGCAAGTAGCACAATTTTAAGATATAAGGATTAAGGATCTACTTTTAGTGCTTTTATAGCTCCTTACAGTTACACTAAATTCAGGTTAGAATATAGAATGATCTTTTAGTATCTTGACACAATGATGTTTAAAGAGTTTTTCAGAACAACAAGAATTAGAAATAGTTAGTTCATTGTAAAAAAATAATCTGAACAGCTTCGATCCTAAATCCTAAAGTATAAAGGCCGTGGCCTTTTGCCCAAATAATTCTTTATCCTGTCATGTACCATAGGCATATGATGTCCCAGAATGAATACAGATTAATATGAAAAATAAGTATTACATTTTTTGTAATATTTAGCGCCCAAGAATAGCCCAAGAATAGTACAAATAGGCGCTTCTAGGAAGTTAGGAACCTGCATTTGTGGAGCTCAAACTTGGAATGAAATTTGTCTGGTTGCACAACCGTGAAACTGCGATTGAAGTTTTTCATAGTGTGTAAACCTCGCACTGCAGTTTCCCTTGCGGGTTGCGAAAAGCTACAAGCTTTGGTTTGGACAATATCATAGCTTCAATAGATAGTTAATGATAATAGTGAAATAATATTAATATCATGAATAGTTGTTTATAATGTGTAATCGCCTGAACGAGAAGAGACTTACGAAGATAGTAAAAAGGATTCTTTGAAGGGTGTGCGTTTTTTGTTTAAAAGCACTTATCATAAAAACTTGCAGTAGTCATCACATGTTCCCCTCGATGTTGCTCGTCCGCAGATAAAAGTAGGTTGTACTATAGCTAATGGGATAATTATATCATTTTTGGTTGTTGAAAATTGGAGAAGCTTTTTTAAATTTTACACAAATCTAATCTCAATGATTTCGTAAGAAAATGTAAAAGACAATTTAAAATAAATGTTAAGCGTATTATTTTTTAAATCCGCTGAATAATACTACTGGACCAAAATATTCTAGAATGCAGTCCAGTATCCGGCTTATTTTACCTCGATTAGCGATATACAACATCAGAATGGGTAGCTTTGAAGTCCAAAAGCCAGAACTCCCAATTGAAACGTCACCGTTCTCAGCAGATGAACTATCTACAGCTCTCAAGCAGACAAAGGACACGTACGGTCATGACGGAATTCCTTCTCTGCTGTACAAGTGTGTTGACTTGGACACTACTTTACTATCTCTGTTCAACAACATGCTAGCTACTGGTAAAGCCCCGGAAGAGCTCCTTGTCACTGCCATTCTTCCTATACCCAAAGGAGCTAAAAAGTTCTGTCCTGAAAATAGCAGAGGCATCTCCATCCTCCCTGTTGCCACGAAAATCTACAACAGGCTGCTTCTAAACCGAATCAGGAGCCACATAGAACCTCGCCTCCGATACAACCAGAATGGTTTCCGGCCTGGAAGAGGGACTCGTGAACAGATTCTGGCTCTTAGACGTATCATCGAAGAGGTTGTGAACTTCCAGCTTCCTTGTGTCATCTCCTTTATTGACTTCTCAAAGGCCTTTGACTGCATCTTCAGATCGCATCTTCCCGACATCCTGGCTTCCTACGGCTTTCCTAAAAAAATCATAAAAGCCATTATGTCACTCTACATCAACACCAAGGCTAAAATCATGACCCCTGAAGGTATAACCTTAGAATTCCTTACCAACCTCGGAATTCTCCAGGGCGATGTTCTTGCACCTCTCATTTTTATCATCGTCCTGGATTTCATACTAAGACTAGCAATAGGGCCACGTGATGGGTTTAAAGTTGGAAGTAACTACATTGCTGATTTGGACTTCGCCGATGACCTAGCAACAATTACTGACAGCTTCAGCGAAAATGGCCGCCTTTGCCAAAGTATTTCTGACATAGCAGCCCGTTATGGTCTCCTTATTAACATCGGAAAGACCAAATACATGTCCTATAACATCCCGCGACCTGTCAACTCAGACGATAGAGTCTTTATTAACGGCAACCCTTTAGAAGAAGTTCATGACTTTAAGTACCTTGGATCCTTTATAGCCTCAACAAGCAGAGACATCAATGTCAGGAAAGGCCTCGCATGGAAAGCTTTACAGAGTCTAGATGCTTTTTGGAAATCTAATATGTCCAGGAAGATCAAGACTAAGATTTTTCGAACTGCAGTAGAACCTGTTCTGCTGTATGGTGCAGAAACCTGGACTCTTAAAAAGGCTGATATCAGAGCACTAGACGGTGTTTATACTAGAATGCTACGAAGGGTCTTTGGTATCTCATGGAAATCACATACACCTAACTCCGTTCTTTACGGAAAGATTCCATCGGTGACAGATACTATAAAGACACGAAGACTTCGTTTTGCAGGACATGTCTACCGTCTACAGGACCAACCTGCTCAACAACTCCTTTTCTGGCAACCATCCTATGGCCAGCGTTATCGAGGACGACCACATAAGACCTTCCAGGACGTCCTACTTGAAGACACTGGAATGGAACCTGACCAGCTGCGTTTACTCATGTGTGATAGGGATAAATGGAGAGAAGCGTTGACACGAAACTCGTTCCAGATTTCATCTGGATCGACCTAGGCAGGTAGGCAGGCAGCGATATATGATCCAATAAAGTTCAATATCTGACCTTCTTTAGCCGGAAATCTGGTTTGGTTGCAAGCAAAGCAAAAATGTGATATGGTCGGTTGCTAGAATGAAGATCAATAAGTCTGTTAACTCTAATTAACTTGAAGTCTCAGTCTAAGTCATAATTGATATACTGATTCGGCCGGATTCAGGTATTAAAAGTATTTCTGGACCAATTTGGAATAAATTATCGGTCTATAATGAAAACAGCGATTTACCGCATATTCTGATTACCGTATAACTTTCCATTCTCACGCAGAAATGAGAAGGTAAATCGGGGTTTAAAACCTGTATCTGTTAGCACTTAGCGGTCTATCAGCGGGGGGATAATCAAGTGGGTGTCCGTGATAAAGTAATTGTGAGTTCCTGGTGAAAATCTTAAAGAAAATAGCCAGCTACATCATGACAAGTGCCAACCAAATGTTTACTGAACAGAAAAAACGTTGTTGATCTACGTCCGCAAGTAAAATCTCAATCATATCACAAGAGCGATGAACAATCAATTGAAAAAATATACAAAGTCCGTACTGTCCCACAAATGAAATGTAAAAAACAAAAATTTGATAATGAGCACCACTAACAGAGGGCAAAGAGTTTGTAAATTACAACACAGCGTTTACACAGAGTGAATACGCTAGTGCCTCATGAAACTTCTCCATTCACTCGCGTTGTGTAACTTGATGTTGTAGCTCGAACAATTAGTGTTAACTCTAATGTATATTGATGGAATTACATAACATAGCAAGTGGTACAATAGACCGCACTGCACCTGGTCAATTTATTTCCACTACACATTCTGATCTAGAGTTTTAACTTCTTGTTGTTTTTAGGAATATAGCCACTGAAGGCAATGATTTTGACCAAATACGCAATTCAAGGATGCAAGTTGTGATGAGAAAGTTAATAACCTACAATTGTTATTTGTTACAGATGTGAGATATCTCCAATAATAGCCTCTCCAAAATTAGTGTTTGCACAATAGCTAATTCAGTGGATGATGTTAGTTGTGGCTAATGTTAGTCAAGGTAAGCCACGTTATATTAAGAACACGTGCCTTGAAGACTAATGTCTCAAGGGATTTTGGATCTATGAATACAATTGAGATCAGTTAAAGTTAACAGTTACAGTCATTCTTAGAATTAAGTCAACTGGTGCAATGTGCATCGCTTACCATAACTACGTCCGTAAGTTTAACACGTATGCTACCAGCTATCAATTCTATTTTTGTCAAATGCGAGCGTAGCAGAATTCAGGCTACAAACAAGCCCCCGGAAAATTCTGGGAAAATTGGCGTATTCGACGAAATTTAAACGATACGAATGGTACGAAATCAACAATTCCCACCTAGCGAGTACAGTACAGTCAATTTTGTCAGCCACCATGAAGCTCTCCTCAAGACACCATAACTTGTTAGAGACGACACTGAAATTAATGAAATAAATACCACGAAGACCTGAGCTACACAGCCGAATCACGTACTGACTTTGAAAGCGAGGCTGGTTATTACATAGTCACCACTGACAACAATAAACATAACCCTAGTTTTAAAATTATTGAAGCTTGACCAGGTTATCGCAGCATTTTTCAAACAAAGCTCTGAGCCTGTGCAAGGGAAGCCTGTGCGTACTCTAAAACTAATGCAAGAACAGATCTAACACAGCTTGCTAATGGGTCTGGGCGTCTGCAGCACCAGTATCATGTGATTATCAACTCTAAAATATACGCCTATGGTGGACTCATGGACTGTAATTATGATGGAGTCAATCAATCTGATTCTTTTCAAGTTTCAATCCAGCAATGGCTGGTCTAAAATTGTAATTAATTCTTACACACGACTTTAGTACCACTCTCTCGAACACTTAGCCTCCAACGTATCACAATCCCAACTGTTTTAGCACCAACTTCTCCATCTCCACACTTCCAATTCCTCCACCACTTAAGTTCCACCACTTCTCCCGTTCCACCCTCTACACAGCAGTTCAGTATCCCCCGGCCCCCCCTTCTCACCCCCTCCCCCCTCACCCCCCCCCCCCCCCTTCTCAATTCTAGTATTACCCTTTCCGTCACTTAAGTTAGTTAGGTATTACCCAATCCGATAATATAGTACCACCACCTTAGCACCACCCAGACCTGATACTATTGGTAATCTGATTAGGAGTAAATATTGGTACAAACGTGGTTGATCCAAGATTAACTTTACAGTGCAAATAACATGAACTTGCGCGGAGAAAAGATCGTGGATTGTCTTGATATGGATACTCCTTCTTAATCCTAAATTCAATCCTTCCGGTAATTCATGATAGTAAATTTGCTATCAGAAAGCGCCCATGCTTTGTAGAAATCATGAATTCAAAATTGGCGGGAAGTGTGGGAATATTGAACTTTTTTAATTTGGAATAATTATCATAATTTGTATTATAATCCTTTCATTTCACTTTCAGAGTTTAACAAATCTGATTTACATTACTACAATGAGATTAATTCTTTTGTACTTGTAGTAACAGGACAAATACAACGATTAATTACTATTCATTTCTAGATACATTTACCCTAATGCGATTTGCATCAAATCAGATTTTACTGGTCACTGTGGCATTAATTTAGCTATTGTAATTCTATCAAATTGTCTAAATCAACTTTAGAACGATAACAAAGTTAAACTAAACTAAATTTCATGCTCCAGTAATACAATAAAATCATCGATACGTGAACTGTCTATTAATTACTGTGGGCTTATGCATTAATCGTTATTTTCTCCTCTAAATATTTGCCTCAGAATTTTCTAATTTTTGCGATTTGCTCGTTCGAGAATGCTAAGAAATAATTCCCAGCCATGTCCGTGTTACAACGGTAAAAGAGCTGCTGAAACCTCCCCAAACGTCATCGTCCAACGGACAAACAAGAAATGAGAACCATCTACCAATCAGAGATTGCCAGCTAACAGGTCACATGTCAAAGGGGCACGTTTGCGAACTCCCACTCGATTATGATGCCCCCTGATCCTCACCCGGCCTCACTTTTTATTCAATTACCAGACACTCTCCTCGTCCCGGTCCCGAAACTCTATCTGTTGCGTGGCTTGTTAGTTTGGGGCCACGTGACCAATCTGTCGGGTCATGTGACCAGTCAGGTGCTTCGCATCTCCCAAACCTATCCGAGATCACCCGCACGCGCCGCATACGTCACGCCAGCGTGAGAGACATTCTCAGCGCTGATTGGCTCGAATTGGACAGCTGACCCGGGCGCGGCGTGCTGATTGGCTGAAAGCTTCCCTCGCAATGGTATGAGGGCTCGATAGGTCGTATTTCTTGTTTACACAACTGGGTAAATACCGAGCGGCAAACTCGATCAGTCATTATAAAATCGTTTTGTGTTTGCTCCCATCATTGTATTAGATCCTGATTAAATTATGTCGTTTCCAGCAGAGTTTTTCAGTACACTTGTTAGTACAACAGCATCGGCTGAATCTACCCCACCAAACACATCGGCTCAGTTTACAGGGCAAGCTGCTGCTTCAGAAATCTACAAATCCTTCCCCTACTTCCCCCAGTCCTCGGTGGAATTTGCTCAGAACGCCGCCAACGGTAGACTCTCTCTATCTTTCCCCCAGCTTCCCGGAAACTATCGACTACCAGCTGAACATGCAGCAGCCATGCACTACCCATCGTATGCTGGAGGAGCCAGAAAACAGCGGAGAAACAGGACAAACTACTCTGCAATTCAACTCAACGAACTGGAGATCGTTTTCAGTAAATCGAAGTATCCTGACATCTTCACACGAGAGGAACTTGCTTTGAGGTTCGCAATTTTTAAGCTCAAGAGGGACACATTGTTTGTTTAAATGTTTAGGTTTGATTCGTCTCACGCTGACTTTAAAACTAACATTAAGGTTCTACATTCGCACTGGTTAAAGTCATCACGATTGCTGCTCTATCACTGTGACTATGGCAACAATGTTGCCGCGACATTAGTACTTCTTTGGTAGAGATCATCTTGAGTTCAGAGTTCAGACCCTCTGTTCGATCTTCATGGTTCGAAATTATAATCGCTCAAGTTAAGATTGGCCTCGCCAGTAAGTTTGATTGCCTGCATTAGACATGACCATGACCATTCTTACCGTCATTGCTGACTCCTAACGCCCTTGATGCTAAATTTAGCAAGTTTCCTTCTACAAGTTTCCTGGAATTATCCTCGAGTCTTGTCAGATACTCTAGTTTATCCCAGCCGATAATCCTTATAAATAGATGGGTTCATGAAGATTCCTGCTATCACGGTAAATTAGATCATCGATACATCCCACCTTGCGGGAACTGACTTGTGGGAGCCTGGACTAAGGAGCATAGTTTGTACAGGATGTGACCCGCCATAATGTTTTAAAATATCTGTAGATTGACTGCCTGAACTAAAATAAAACATCCCGGCCAGGTAATTTTGTGGCCCGAATTTGTCAGGCTCTGAGTATAACATAGGGTAACATTTGAAAGAGTCACTGATTTTAACATTTCTCTCCCTGCCTCGGGATTTTTATAGTAAACCGCAATTTTGTGAATGTTGCCTATCGGTTACAGAGCTGACCACATAATGCTAAATTTACTAAATATTCCCGGTTCCCCTTTTTCCCTAGATTCCTGACAGTCTAGAGTTAGTTTTAAATAATGTCTCACTTCCGAACAAAGAATTTCATGTCCTTTTTCGTACAGGTTGGGAGTTCCAGAGGCAAGGATACAAGTTTGGTTTCAGAACAGACGTGCCAAGTGGAGAAAACAAGGACGACTCTCGGTCTCCGGAGACAAGGAAGAACATGAGGTGAGGACGATTTTATGATAAAAGTTTTTAGATTTTCTGCAGATTTCCGCCGTTCTTACTGGGGCGCAACATGAGCAATCTGTCAATTCGTTCAACCGGTTTTATAGGAAAATAATTACAGTGGTCTACCATCGAGGTTAAAGTAATCGCACTGAGATCAGTTCATATCAAATCATAACTTTTATACGCGTTGGAACATATTTGATCATCCTAGAATCTAGGCGTGTTGAACATATAAATTCAAAGTGTAGACCCACCTAAATTCGTCTGGCTACAATAATCCCAATAAAACATTAGTTCAGTTTGTTAACTCTTCAAATTCCAGGTTTCCTCATCATCCCCCGGGCTAAAGGAGCATGTGAATGTGAATGTGAACGTGATGTCGCAAGATCAACAACAGTCAGTGGTTATGGACATCAAGCAAGAGGACAATATTAACAAACAAGTTCAAGCTCAACAAAAGGTAATAATATTAAAAGTCCCATATGAAATTAAATAATTAAGTAATATCATTATTTAATTCGCTTTCATTATTGAAGTCGTTGGCATTATTATTTACAGACAAATGTTCACAGATTGAGTAGTTTAAATTTAATAGTTTGGGTAGTGCTACTAGCTCGGGGCTGGGACATGTAGCAGATTCTGACGAACCAACCAGATTCATACACAAAACTATGACACCCAATCCGTATTAGCCAGCCACCTTTCCGATTATGATATCATTTCAACATAGTATTTACCATAAATTGTTAAATGAAATTAAGGATTACTTTTTCAGGGTATATCACCGGACACAACAAATCTGAAGATGGAAGCTGTGTACAGTAACTTTAGCGAGACTAAGGAGATTAAGGAGAATCAGAAGAAGATCGCAGAGAGGTTAGAGGTAGATAAATGGGGAATTCCTCCCAATATGAACATCTTCGGTAACCAGCAAATCTCCTGAACAGGTGACCTGGAATTTATTTCCTTGATAATCACTTCAATGTGGGAATTGTGATGTTGTGTCCATGGTTTTGGGCCGAAGAAACTGTAAGCAATTAAGCAGCAAAAGACATTTAATGATTTACGTATGAAGTGCGAACTGTGGATAGATTTTAAGTTAGAAGTAGTATAGTGAGATATTGCGATATTATAATTTATTGATTTCGCACACCAAAACTTTTAAAATTTGAGCCGAATTTTTTGGCTTTTTTCGTAATGGTTTTTAATTTTATGGGTTTTTATGAGTTTTTAAGGGTTTTTAAAGATACATAATGATTGCTTCAACAAATTAGAGTAAGGATACAAATTTACAACTATTAATTAGAGTTCACATTAACATTACTCACAAAACTAGTTTATTTATCCTGAAGCACCTCTAAGCCATTCTTTCTGGCTCAGTAGTTGACAGGTCATTCATACCGGATTGGATGATGAACGATTTGCTCCGCTCAATTTGTACCAGTGATTCCCTCATGTTTGCCACGGTTATTTCTGACGAAAGTATCGTGAAACTAACTTATTAGATTTTACAGCATTATAGAAAAACACCTTTGTTCAATTCAATTTAATGTTCAAAATAATCATATGTATTTTAAGATTGTAAAATTCAAACTTGTAATTATATTTTTCATTTACCAATAAAATAACAATAAATATAATTTCACATATTGTCCCATAGACGAACGGATTGAAAATAATACAGATCAACGACATAGCCCTTACTTCCTCTTAATATAGGGCCTGATCCTCCACAAAACTCTGATACAAGTTACAACCTAGCATAATTCGATGCTCCATCTGTAAAATTCCAATAAATTGAAAACTTAATGATAAACGATTACGATCGCTTCAAGAATCCACACCTGTGTTATACCTGGACAGGATAACCGGGAAAAAAGTTCGCCTGTGTTTGGTTTCGCATTTTGGAATCTTGATTGCCACACGTTTATTGGTGGGAGCATTTGTAACTTTAGCATTGTTCAGATAAACATCCTCATCTCCCTTCACACTGGACCGGGAACGGTACTCTTTGGACTTCTGAAATGTTTTTATAACAGTCAACTGTTGAAAGATATCTCTCAATTACATTAGGCACTTGCCATGAACAAAGGATTCTGCTTTCCTGCAGGTGAGCTTGTGGCATCAAATTTTTCTTTAAAGTGCTTCTATTGAGCATAATCCCCTAACTTCGTTATCCTCATTTTGCGATCGCATTATCCTCATTATCAAGCGCACTTTTTAAGGTACGTTTAACATGTTTTCACGTCCCGCTAGTTACACAAATCTTTGCCTGCAGCCATACAGTCTGAGTAAAATTTGCCCTTTTTACCACAACATTCAGAAATGTGGAATGCCTTACAAAATTCTAAAAATCGTAAAAATACCGCAGTATTGAACCCACTATTCGAGTCAGAATCCACATCCTAGAACGGAGGAGATAGCTCTGAGCAGTTCTCGACATCATTAGCTAATCGGCGATCTATTATATGATTGTTTGGCAGGTCACATGACCGCGCGGATTCCTCTGATTAGCTGGTGACTGTCACGTGGGCCGGTTATTGTACAAATAAGATATATCAGCTAACTGAGAGGGGATATCCATTACCTTGATCGTGTTTTAGTTCAGGCGCTGTGTTCTAAATGTAAACATTGTATCATTAGTCAGAGGGTTTGTTTATCTTGGGGGTCAAATTGTAAATGGGTCTGCTCCAATCGCATCTGTGCAAGAGACCAAGTATTACCTGACCACGTCCTGCAAATATTTGCGCTATATTTAAATCATCCTTGAAGTCTGAAATCACTGAAATAGTACACACGATCCACATTCCGGTGATGAATGGGCGATTGTATTAGTGCGACAAGAAGTAAGAACCATAGTTTGGCCATTCTTGAAAGTGATGTATTATAACGCCTTAACAAGGAGATTCTCACCAAGTTCAGCACTATGGACCCTGACATCAGGCTTGTTCCCTTTCACAATAACTTTCTTGCTATTCCCGTCACGTTCTACGTTACTGTAAGCCTGCCTCCAATAGGTGGTTGATGGCTGAAACTACACATAATGATGGATTTCAAGTTTAACAGTGTCAAACATGCAACTGATGTTGCACAAGATTTACAAACGTGACCTATATCAATATGCTATCTTCAAGATTATCCGTAGAGTACCGTTAATGTGACTCACAATGATCCTCTATCTGTATTCTTGATTTCGTCACTATACAGTCTACAGCTTTCAAAAGCCTGATCAACCAATCAGGTATTGGTTATCTGTTATCACCCTAGGCAACATATCATTTAAATGTCAAACTTCATCGGGGGTATGTACTACTACTAATTGGGTGGATTCTTTCAGGATTAGCTCTGAAAATGAATTTACACGTACCGCAACTTGTCAACTCGTTAGTCTCTCTCTCTATCTCTCTATCTCTCTCGTTAGTCATTACATCACTTCTAAATTCTCTAAAAATATTTTACTTATGGGCGACAGTTCATGATAGATTTTGGCCTGAGTTCAAGACAAATTTGATGGTGATGGGCTTGTCGTTGTGGTTAAAAAGTACTCTGCGTCAAATTAAATATAACCGATCGACGTTCACCTCATTTTAATGATTTGGCGGGAAAAATTTAAAAATTTCATCTAGAATTTCCACTGATCATATAGCTTGAGACACGGTACCAGGGCAACCAAGCAGAGGTTCGGCTAACTGTTGAGGGGATAATATTATCAGTTTGTTTAGTCTGATCAGTCTGCAATATTATCAGGAGACTGGTGCTTGTCTGTGTAGGTGTGTATAACAGACTACCAGTCTAATGAGACATTGGGAACAAAACACCCTAATTGATGGCTTGTTTGGGGTAATTGCTAAATTGGTGTTATGTTAAGTAAATTCTTGGATCAGAGAGACTGTGACAGTCAATCAGATCAAATTAACCAATCATTTGCCATGACCCATGGGAATCATCCGTGGTTGTGTTTGTTTGGGAATCTTCTAGAACTCCAACAATAACACATTATCAAATCCGTACACCTAAGTAGCAAATTCCCTCAATTCTGGTGTATACTGGAAATGGATTACTCACTTGATGGTCGTTACCATCCTGAAAGTAAGGGAAAATTCGCAATTTTGAGGCCTCAAGGCTGCAGTGGTTTCAATTTGACCGGTTACCTGTCTCCTGCTCCATATCACTATCAAAGGGGGCTAATTTAGGTTTCTATTTTTCCTATTAGATCATCAAAAACTACAGATCAACAGAAACCGATCAAAACTCATAAGTGCAATCGCGACATTCCATAGGTAATCATTGGCTGTAAATATTTAATAGAATCATCAATCAGATGATTCAAGTGCATGACATCCTTGCTGGTTAGTGATTAGTGTCAAATGTGGAGTCAGACCAATAATTAATAAATGACAAGTATTCATTTTATGCTTGTTTATTTTACGAGCAGGCTCGTGTATATTAGGATGCAGTAAAGTATGTAGGCTCAAGATAATTCAGACTTCCAGGCAAGGTGCTACGATATGATCGGAAAACACGACCATCCTTATCCCACAGTGTGAGTGAGCCACCCCCAAATTAGGTTTAAACCGAACAACCATCATTAATGGTAAAACAAACCTTTTTAAGTTTAGGAGATGAGCTTTTGTTGCTGCCACTTGACGATGACTTCTCTATCGTGACCGCAGTTAGGTAGTTATACTCCCGTTCTAGGTCCAGCCTGCAGCTTAGAGCAGTGGGAGATTTGTACAATCTGTACTCTTCTATGTAGCACTCCGTCTAGGGGATGGTACGTGATATTAGTGAAGTTAGCATATGGAATACTGGATAGTACGTGGTATACTGATATTCTTGTAGTTGAGGGACATTATTCCTCTATGTATTCCTGTATATGTATTCCCGGGAGCAAGGACTGTCGTGTCACCTTTTAACATTATCGAATTAAAAATAATCCTTATGACCCAGAACCATAAAATAGTCCGCTGTTATATAATTTCCACAAATAGATATTATTTCGGTTTTTTTTTTCGGTTTTTAGTGTTTAAACCTCATTTAATTCAAGAAATTTACAAAAGAGACCACAATAATAAATGTGGGCAGGAAAATTTAGGGTTGACTTGAAACTTTGAAAGTGAGGTCAGGCAGCATGTCAAATGATGTAAAATCTTAATTTGTTTATAAATTACCGGAGGTCAACCTAGAGCCTCTAGTAGAGGTTATTCAAATCAGAAGTTGCCCTGGCCTCAGCACAACCCATAAAAGATTTGGATTCTGGTATTTTTTAAACACGTGACAGCGATTTTGGGGTTTGATTGGTCAACAGTGGTAGCTGGCTGGCTAATTCCTGTTACGTGTAAAAAAAAAGCTCTACCTCCCCACCAGAATCCACATCTAAACATTTAATCAATAACTGCATGAGGGCAAACATGGAGATCTGCACAAAATTGAAAATTCATTATATTTATATGACCTTAATTTCAGATTTTTTACTCTGCGGTAGGACGACTAATTATAATTTTTGACAATCCAGTAAGTATCCTGATAAACAAATCAAAATTTGATTTACCTCATCATAATATCGGAAGCTGGGCGTCAGGGGTTGACAGTATTTGTATTTGTTGATGAACCTATTCTTCTTCAGTATCTGGTAATTTTTGGGAACGCTGCCTGGAACTGGTCGTGTTCTGTTTGTCTTCTTTAAACAGTCAACCTGGATCATTTGATTTTCATCAGTCTTACAGCTCTGAAACAGAAAAGTAGGGCGTGGTGCGGCATCAATGTTTGATAATATTCTTTATTAATAAAACGTTTAGTTATAGTTTCCAAGAGAGTGCTCAACTGACATGCAAAAGCATTTTAACAACAATTGAAACAATCAAAATTGGTAGACGAATCGTTTCACGATATTTAGATGGTGATAAAACAATACTAATCATCGGTGATATTCATTCACTAGCTTCGCACGGCTAACCGATACGGATAATAGGGCGGCATTTATTTTTAATAATGATTTGTTCATAATTGTTCTTTTATCTAGAAATTGTATATAAGAATGGTTAACTAGTGCTTGCTTTTAAGAGTTAATGTCTTTTGAGACAAAAAAAATTTGTTGAACAAAGATGCAGATGACAAATTTAAACATATTTGGAAACCTTTGGGCTAAAATTTCAAGATGATCTGACCTTCTGCAACCAAGGTGAGAGCTCAGGACATTTGAGATTGCTGTTGTAAGTTACCCAGGGCTGAGGACGTTTGATTTCTAATCGGTTGTAACAGTCCTTGAGGGTACCAGAATACTCACACAGACCTGAGAGGGAGCTGCGTCAGATTGAGGAGTACGTGGGCACTTTTAACATAATCAACCTACAACTATTGTCAAGTCTCATACTGGAAACTTTTTAAATCTTTTTACTTTTATGTGCTATGTGCATATATGTGCTTGTCACGCGGTGATCCTCTTAACATGAGATGATGAGAAAGCCTGTTAACATTCAACACTGCAAACACTGCAAACGTAGTTCCAGAGTTGCGAAAGGTACCGAGAAGAACAGTTCGTGAGTGGTGGTTTAGAAAACAAATAAAAGGAAAGCACGAGCTACACAAACTGAGCAGTTAATTGTTATTTGTTTGTTTTTAATTCATTCTAACTGACGAGGATAAGTAGTTAACAAATATTTCTCCGATCAAAAACTTAAGTAAAACTTAAAAGGAATGAAAAATTTTGCCAAAACAACGCGTTGTACAGTTTGACTGATATAAAGGAGAAGAAGATGACACGATCTAATAAAGCTGAACAGTTATTGCATATTGTGACAACCAAGATTCAATCAATGTTTATGAACTATCCACAAGTTCAATGAACATTAGACCAATTATAAACGAAGAAAACTTTTGGGTAAGCAGCTCTGACTCTCTGATCTTGATAACATTTTTAATTGTGCAAATAAGTAGTTGTACGGACTACGGTTGATAGCGGTTGTGTCAGGAGCCTTGGTGTGCAGTGTGACTGTGAGCCAGGTTTACTGTGAAACGTTTTTTTTTTCAGTTTTGAGAATCGATCTTGTGTTACGTTGATCAAATCGTAATTACATATTCGTCGTACAAATTACGATGAAATTGCGAAAATACAATTTTACGAAATTGAAAGAGTTCACGTCTTCAGTCAGACGCGCAACGATTTGAATTTAAACTTCTACATCATAACAAAGAATCAAAACAATAATCGATATCACAAACCTTTATTCGGTGCCATCGTGGTTGGTGGTTAAACTTGAACTGCTCACATGACAAAAGAGTCCGGATGAATCAAAACACAGCGGCTACTAATTCTAAACAAGCTCGACAAAACATACGCGTGCTGTCAAGGTTTCCTAAAAGTAAAAACAGTAAAACTTGTACATATCTCGCGTATGTATTATGCACGCGAAAGCTTCTCTATTCTCACTTGTAAAGGTGTATAATGATCGTGGGCGAGCTGACAAGCATTGTTAAATTATAGTTTGTAGATCAGTGAACCGTACGACACTGTAACTGCAGTACTCGTTCAGCAGTCAGCACTGTATTTACGGATTTACAGACTGCTGCTGCTAGTGTATTAAAGTATTAACACAGTATGAAGTAGTGAATGAGTATTACGACCGCAGCTGTTAAAACTTGTGAGAAGAATGATACATCTATACTGTACAAAGCATCAGAATAGATTAAATATTTTGGGAAGAAAGAGACGTTTTTTCTGGAGAAATCTTCTATGTTAGGGAAAATCTGAAAAAATTTCTGCCGATAGGACATTTTCAGATTTCCTCGTTGTGCATATCATGTGAGGCACCGAAAGCTAGATTACAGAAAGCTTTGATAAACGGAAAATCATCAGAGTATAGATGTGGATTGTAATTGTATAGGGAGAATATAATGGTAGTATAGGGAGAAGAAACGTATTTTTTTGACACGTGTCAATGATTCTGGGATTTGATTGGTCGATGCTGATTGTGTCAAGTAAAATATGTTATGTGAAAGTTTCATAAACCCTAGCAAGGTTCCGGACATGACTGTTGTCCAATAGTGAGAAGTAGAACTTGTACTCCCTGAGCTGTAGGCTATTTCAATATTCCCTCCAAGTTGAAGTAAGCTCTAACGACTTTTTTGTGCCCTATTGTTAGGAATCGTTCAAGCCAGGCTTTAAATTTCCCTCAGAAAACGTACTTTTCGGCTTTAGTAAGGAGTATGCTGTGATTTGATTTATCAAAGGCGTTAGCATAATGCAGATATATGCCTCTCCAACACTGAGAGCCTTGAGGGTCAATAAGTTGGTTGGTTTAGGGCACTTGCCTTACCTTTCATGGGGGAGTTAAATTAAGTCACATTTATAAGGGTCCTATGGAGCAGAAAATTGGATGAGAGCCAAATTAATTTCACAGCTAAACTGGGCAAATACCCACGGTGGACGGGGCCGGAAAGTGACTACCACCTGGATGGTTTGAGAATATTGTCAGCATAATCTATAAGTTAGGAAAGACAAATTCTTCGATTTCAAAAGACAACATAAGTACAAAATGGATCGTCCTATCCACCGATAATTTTGTGCTCCATATAATTTTAGATTGATACATGAGGACATGGGAAATCATAATTGTACTGTCCGCGATTGTGATAAGGGCTTGACTGAAAGTATGAGATATGAACTAAACGCATTAACCAACGCCTTAAGTTGAAAATAATCGATAGCGGACAGGGAATTGTGTTGTAGTAAGTTTCAAGTGGGAAGTCCAGATTTTTTATTTCTAATATAAATACTCAGAATACAAGTTTGTAAAACTAAGTTTGCAGACTGAAGGGGTTATTTTCAGTGTAAGCATCGACAAAGATTGGCCAATAAGTTGACTTGCTTACATTTATTTTCACAGACTCTTGCGACACAGAGGAAGCGATCCCATCGATCAATTAATTATTTCCAATTGCATGTTTCACTGTTAAGAAACAAGGAAAGGGGAGCATGATGCACCCTCACAACTGCCACGTTTTGGACAGAAGCTTAGATCTTATTAATCCGGTGAAATAAAATAAGAAGTAAGTACTTCCGCCAATTCGAGTAAGATAAACTCTAATAATTACGCTATACGAGGGTAATAACTCTGCACTTTAGGCGAAACTAACATATGTATAATATTATCTATTTAAAATTTGGCAACCTAGGAACAGTTATTGAGATCAGATCGCTGCCACGCCTTGTTACGGACGATCTTGGGGCTAACCATCTGCCACGCAAGTTAAAAGAGAACTACAAAATTTCCGTATAAACGCTCGTGCGCAGCCGCAATCTGCATAATTTATTCCTGGCGCCGTACACGATATGCTATATTTCAACGTGACTGCCCTATCTGACCAGTATTTGGGCATTATGACACAGCTGTTAAAGTGGACAAATAATAGTGATTATCATTTTAGTAACTGAATATTTCAAGAAAAGTTACAGATGTGATTTAACATGGATTCAGACAGCTACATAAAAACATTTCCTCGTCGCCACGATTGTGGTAATGTTCCCCAAAATCATTTATCCAATTTCTACACAAAACAGTTTTCTACAAAATGATATAACATAAACCAGAATCATGCATTACTACCATAAATATGAATTATCAAATATACCAAGTTTAATGTTATTTAACTGATCTTAATCTGAAATCTGGATCAGTTGTATCGGAATTTTTTAGATTCTTGTGAATCAAAATTGCAAGAAAATTTGTTGCTGTCTTATTTACTGTGGTTATTTTCAATACTTACCTCAGCTCAGCTGAAATAATTTCACAAAATTAATCTGAAATAATTGATAACGTCATCTCGATGAGCAGTAGTTTTAAAAACTATAAAAACTTGATTTGACGTCATTGATATAACTACCCATTCCAAAAACAATGTTACAATTTAGAAAAGGCCTAATCCTACTCTAATTCATTCAGCCGATTTAGGTTGAAACTGCTTCAAAATTTATCGCGAAGATTTTAAAATTTCTAAAAAGTGCAGTACGGTGGTTCTTCAAACCACAAAGGATCACAATTTGACCAATCTCGAGAAGGACAAATTTAAAGGACGAGAGTGCTTTAAAAACATCGCCTTATTCGGAATAATAAAGTAAAGCCACAAGAAAGCATTTAAGGATTAATTCAAATATCAGGTCCATTTCGCATTGCACAATTTTAACTCATTTAATGTTCACAATTTCTCATTTACTCTACATTACTTATCTTAGTTTTTACCGAATTCTTTCAATAGTTGTTTAATCGTGCTTCTCATAAAATTAACTAAATGAAACTATCCAATATATGATTTAACCCATTCTAGTTTATCCTCAGTATATTTTCGTTCCTTGAATAGGCTCCTAGATTATATTTCTCAGCCGAATCCAGCAAAGAAGGTCCATAGGACCTCATTGCTTTTCTGAACAATTCTTTGTCTACTTGCACACTGCACTCGGAAAATCCGTGGTCAATGAGTATGTCTCTAGATTGGGAGATAACGCGCTGTTCGTTTGCACGTGCGTTGACGTACACTCTGACTGAAGCAACTAGCACACTGCTCGAGTAGAGCCACAAATGAGGATCGTAAACATTCATCACGTTTTCTATCTTGTTAATCTCATCTAGTGCTTCGAAGAAACTTCCTTCTTTCTCTTGAGGAACACGCTGGAGTAAAACCAGGACAGAGTCCTTGAGAAGAGGGATTACTGATAGGAAAATGAGAACTGCGATAACCATAGAACATATTGGGTCAGATCGGTACCAGCCGAAATATTCTATGAGTAAGGATGAGATAATTACTCCCACACTGCCTAGAGTATCCGCCATAATGTGAAGGAATACTCCCTGCAGATTTCTGTTTTCTGTACTTCCACCACCGTGACTGTGACCATGATTCCCTTTGCCGTTGTTGCCTTCATGACTGTGACCACCGTCATGACTGTGTCCGTGACCACTTTCATGACTGTGTCCGTGACCTTCATCATGACTGTGTCCGTGACCAGCGTGATCATCAGCACATTTTTCCGCTCCATGACTATGCCCATGACCACTATCGTGACTATGCCCATGACCACCGTCGTGACTGTGTCCGTGACCGCTACTTTTTTTGGGAGGTGCGTCATGTCCGGCGCATGGAGCGCCCCCGTGCGTGTGGGCGTGACTAAACGCAAATATTCCGATAAGATTGACACCAAGCCCCGCTACAGATACTATCAACAGTCTATCTGTGCTAATCTCAGGAGGATCAACCAGTCGCTCAACAGCCTCACTGAAGACAAAGAAGGCTACAACACACAACAGCAGTCCATTAACATATCCTGATAACATGTCCACACGCGCAAACCCGTACGAGTAAACCCGCGTCTTGGGCCACTTCTGCATCAGGGCCGCCAACAATCCCACGAGAAGCGCTGCGCAGTCAAACAGCATGTGGAAACCGTCCGATATGAGACCAAGCGAGTTCGTCCAGATTCCATACAGCAGTTCCACTCCACAGAAGAAGAGATTTATACAGAGAAAATAAAATATCTGCCTCGAATCACTGCTGCTCATTATCTGTTGAAGTGTAGATTTTATAAACGGTATAACCGTTGAAGCGTCCGCTTTTTTATCGAATGTGTACATGGGAAGGCCTGATTCTGCGTATCCGATGAAAGTGCCGTGGTTTGGACCGGAGGGTTTGGAGAGACGTATAGTGGCGAGGGTGAGGAGGATGGTAGCAATCAGGACACCTCCGGAGATGTGATGGTGCGAAGTATCGCTAGTTTCCCCGTTCACTAGGATTAGAGGTCCGTGCCAGAAATATCCTGAGGAATTTTGTGTTACATTTTTATCGGAATATTCCACACTGTCCTTTTTTTCTGTTCTCCAACAAAAGCTTACATGATTTGAGTTTTTTGCTTACTGAAGGCTCAAGGCTCAGTAAACAAGATATCTATATTTGAAAGATCAGTCTGAATATTTAGATTATAACCAGAAAACAATATGTATATTGTATAAGCCCTATAAGGCCATGGGCCATGGCCTGATTTCAACAACCAAACAATGGTCACCACTAAACACAAACCTAAGACAAGAGTAACAACGAAGGAGATAATAGTGCTGTATTTTACAACTCTGTTCGTGTCCAGTTTACTGATCGTCAGTCCATCTATCACATAGTTTGCCACCTGAAGTGTAGATACTATTGTTATTAAAAACTTACAGGATCATCAAAAACTTACCAGATCGATACATTTATTGACAAGAGATGAGAATCCTCATGAAGTATTGCCACACCTTGTAAAGTTCTAAAACAGTAGTTTGAATATTTACAGCAACAGATAAATGACACCGAGAAAACTCTAGCCACATTGACTTCAGTTCGTGGCTGTTTATTTGTCTTCATGTTTGTGTGTCTTAAAATAAACGCGTCAGAACAACATACCACAGAGATAGCGATGAGGATAGACCAGGGCAGGACAGAAGAGAGCCACACCCCGTTGTTTGAGCTGGGAGCACCAACTAGCTGGAACACAGTCGGTAGGAAGAGGAGACAACCAGATACTAGGACAGTCAGGGCATGTAGCTTCTTGTTACCTCCTGAAAAAGGGGAAATGGTTAATAAAAAGGTAGTTTAATGGTGTGACTGTGGTGTGCCCGTGGTGTGCCCGTGGTGTGACTGTGGTGCGACTGTGGTGTGACTGTGACTGTGGTGTGACTGTGGTGCGACTGTGGTGTGACTGTGGTGTGACTGTGGTGCTACTGTGGTGTGACTGTGGTGTGACCGTGGTGTGACTGTGGTGTGACTGTGGTGTGACTGTGGCGCGACTGTGGTGTGACTGTGGTGCGACTATGGTGTGACTGTGGTGTGACTGTGGTGCAACTGTGGTGTGACTGTGGTGCGACTGTGGTGTGACTGTGGTGTGACTGTGGTGTGACTGTGGTGTGACTGTGGTGTGACTGTGGTGTGACTGTGGTGCGACTGTGGTGTGACTGTGGTGTGACTGTAGTGTGGCTGTGGTGCTACTGTGGTGTGACTGTGGTATGACTGTGGTGTGACTGTGGTGTGACTGTGGTGCGACTGTGGTGCGACTGTGGTGTGAATGTGGTGTGACTGTGGTGTGACTGTGGTGCGACTGTGGTGTGACTGTGGTGTGACTGTGGTGTGACTGTGGTGTGACTGTGGTGCTACTGTGGTGTGACTGTGGTGCTACTGTGGTGTGACTGTGGTGTGACTGTGGTGCGACTGTGGTGTGACTGTGGTGTGACTGTGGTGTGACTGTGGTGCGACTGTGGTGCGACTGTGGTGCGACTGTGGTGTGACTGTGGTGTGACTGTGGTGCGACTGTGGTGTGACTGTGGTGTGACTGTGGTGTGACTGTGGTGTGACTGTGGTGCGACTGTGGTGTGACTGTGGTGTGACTGTGGTGTGACTGTGGTGTGACTGTAGTGTGACTGTGGTGCTACTGTGGTGTGACTGTGGTGTGACTGTGGTGCTACTGTGGTGCTACTGTGGTGTGACTGTGGTATGGCTGTGGTGTGACTGTGGTGTGACTGTGGTGTGACTGTGGTGTGACTGTGGTGTGACTGTGGTGTGACTGTGGTGTGACTGTGGTGTGACTGTGGTGCGACTGTGGTGTGACTGTGGTGTGACTGTGGTGTGACTGTGGTGTGACTGTAGTGTGACTGTGGTGCTACTGTGGTGTGACTGTGGTGTGACTGTGGTGCTACTGTGGTGTGACTGTGGTATGGCTGTGGTGTGACTGTGGTGTGACTGTGGTGTGACTGTGGTGTGACTGTGGTGTGACTGTGGTGTGACTGTGGTGTGACTGTGGCGCGACTGTGGTGTGACTGTGGTGCTACTGTGGTGTGACTGTGGTGTGACTGTGGTGCTACTGTGGTGCTACTGTGGTGTGACTGTGGTATGGCTGTGGTGTGACTGTGGTGTGACTGTGGTGTGACTGTAGTGTGACTGTGGTGTGACTGTGGTGTGACTGTGGTGCTACTGTGGTGTGACTGTGGTATGGCTGTGGTGTGACTGTGGTGTGACTGTGGTGTGACTGTGGTGTGACTGTGGTGCGACTGTGGTGCGACTGTGGTGTGACTGTGGTGCTACTGTGGTGTGACTGTGGTGTGACCGTGGTGTGACTGTGGTGTGACTGTGGTGTGACTGTGGCGCGACTGTGGTGTGACTGTGGTGCGACTATGGTGTGACTGTGGTGTGACTGTGGTGCAACTGTGGTGCGACTGTGGTGTGACTGTGGTGTGACTGTAGTGTGACTGTAGTGTGACTGTGGTGTGACTGTGGTGTGACTGTAGTGTGACTGTGGTGTGACTGTGGTGTGACTGTAGTGTGACTGTGGTGTGACTGTGGTGTGACTGTGGTGTGACTGTGGTATGACTGTGGTGTGACTTTGGTGTGACTGTGGTGCGACTGTGGTGTGACTGTGGTGTGACTGTGGTGTGACTGTGGTGTGACTGTGGTGCGACTGTGGTGTGACTGTGGTGTGACTGTGGTATGACTGTGGTGTGACTTTGGTGTGACTGTGGTGCGACTGTGGTGTGACTGTGGTGTGACTGTGGTGTGACTGTGGTGTGACTGTGGTGCGACTGTGGTGTGACTGTGGTATGACTGTGGTGTGACTTTGGTGTGACTGTGGTGCGACTGTGGTGTGACTGTGGTGTGACTGTGGTGTGACTTTGGTGTGACTGTGGTGCGACTGTGGTGTGACTGTGGTGTGACTGTGGTGCGACTGTGGTGTGACTGTGGCGCGACTGTGGTGTGACTGTGGTGCGACTATGGTGTGACTGTGGTGTGACTGTGGTGCAACTGTGGTGCGACTGTGGTGTGACTGTGGTGTGACTGTAGTGTGACTGTAGTGTGACTGTGGTGTGACTGTGGTGTGACTGTAGTGTGACTGTGGTGTGACTGTGGTGTGACTGTAGTGTGACTGTGGTGTGACTGTGGTGTGACTGTGGTGTGACTGTGGTATGACTGTGGTGTGACTTTGGTGTGACTGTGGTGCGACTGTGGTGTGACTGTGGTGCAACTGTGGTGCGACTGTGGTGTGACTGTGGTGTGACTGTAGTGTGACTGTAGTGTGACTGTGGTGTGACTGTGGTGTGACTGTAGTGTGACTGTGGTGTGACTGTGGTGTGACTGTAGTGTGACTGTGGTGTGACTGTGGTGTGACTGTGGTGTGACTGTGGTATGACTGTGGTGTGACTTTGGTGTGACTGTGGTGCGACTGTGGTGTGACTGTGGTGTGACTGTGGTGTGACTGTGGTGTGACTGTGGTGCGACTGTGGTGTGACTGTGGTGTGACTGTGGTATGACTGTGGTGTGACTTTGGTGTGACTGTGGTGCGACTGTGGTGTGACTGTGGTGTGACTGTGGTGTGACTGTGGTGTGACTGTGGTGCTACTGTGGTGTGACTGTGGTATGACTGTGGTGTGACTTTGGTGTGACTGTGGTGCGACTGTGGTGTGACTGTGGTGTGACTGTGGTGCGACTGTGGTGTGACTGTGGTGTGACTGTGGTGTGACTGTGGTGCGACTGTGGTGTGACTGTGGTACTGGAGGGGGTTCTTGAAACATGTGAGTGATACGTTTGTAGTAGCAGAAGAACATGATAGGGTCAATAAGTAGTTTACAAACATTTTCTTTTATCGCTTTGAAAGATATGTAATTAGCTGGTTAAACTAGGAAAATATGAAAAAAGTTGAAAAAAGCAATAAATATTCATGGAACTCCGGGTGTAGAGGGAAAATGTGCATAATTATCTGTTTTGACGTGAGAAATTTGGAATCTTTGATCTATTATGCGAACCAAAAATGTACAAATCATTGGATAAGTGAGTTCTTATTGACTATTCCCGTATTCGTGGTGCAGTATTCATTGTGCAGCCTAGCACACATTTGCAAGTCACACACATCTGTTCTAGTTGCAAATTTGTGAAGAGACAATGTAACGGAAAATTATCTTCCAACACGCTCCGTAATTTGTTTTAAATTGTTTTAAAATTAGCTGGAAACGACGTGAGATAATGATGACCATGTTTCCGAGTGTATTTTCGTTTTCTTTACTTAGCTATTTAAATAATTTGCTCGGCACTTTGCTCAGCACTTTGCTTCTAGATTCCCCTTTTTGAATTATATTAGCTGGTTACAACTTTACCAGTGTATCTCGCTCACAATTAAGCAATTACTTGCTAATTTCACAATGAAGCACTATCCAACAACAATTTTCCATCATAAAGATTTTTGTTCGATTTGGCTTAATAAGAGTGCATTTTGCTTTTCGATTGCTCCTTTTTTCAATTACGTTATTACCTTCTAGGTTCTTGAAGGCTGTATCTGGATTTCAAAATTTTATACTTGAACGTTTTCACTCAAAAATCGGCACCATCTGCTAAATATCAAACAAGCCTCTCTGAACCCCGGACATCATTAAATCCGCTAATTACAATTTGCAAACCATAATTTTATAATTATAATCTCACCTGTTTCCACGGCTAATTTCTTCTGGTATGTTCTCTGAAGAGCGGACAGCACGAGCGCCAGGATTAGAACCAGTACTCCGTGTTTGTGGTCCGGTACTCCTGCATTTTATTAACTATTACTATTAACTAATTAACTAATTAATTAACTTTCAAACAAATGCACTGTAACCCTTTTTCGTGGGGTTTGAGATTCCGGGAATTTTTGCCTTTGCCTCAGGTGATCGTTAATCAATAATTTAAAAATCACTTGAAAATTCTTTTCTTTTTTAATCACTTTAAAAATCACTCCTTAATGCTCATTCTGATATTCGCACCATCGTAGGACATTTGTTTCAGGAAAAACACTTGATTTGCAATGAAGATCGATATTCATTAACCATCATCCCATTTTATTTCGATTAGCTTATATTTGAAGACGTAATCATTTATATGTAATTTTTTTTTATCTAGACACTTATTTTACTTCGGAGTATTCCAACAGCCATATTGTTACACAAGTGCAACCAGCCAATTACAGGAAGCCGAAGGATTTGTTTTTAGCCAGTGACGGTTAAGGTAGTGTGTACCATACTTTCTTCGCCCGAGACTTTGCTGCAATGTGCAGCTCCTCATTTAACCCTCACACCCGATTTCTCGAGTATTCGGCTGAGTAGACCGGGGGGCTGCATAGACCACTCACGATCCTTAGCTGAATGTCAACGACACTCACCCCACGACCAGGCAGGCAGTGGGATTTGAACCCGCAACCGAACGATTGCAAAGCTGGCTAACCAACTGCGCTACCTGGCCGTTAATAGATATGCAGAATGGAAAATAGGTTGAATTTGACTCTACAAGAACAATTGACGTAGCTTGCGACACGTGCGACACGTGGCTGTAGGATGAAAAAGTAAAATTTTCGCAGGGATAAAATTCGAAAAGTATTGGAATGTTTAGGAATGTTTAGCTCACTTACCAAGCTGATCGAACATAGCGTAGAGGGCATGTACCACATAACTCTCCTCCCCCGACTCGACGTGGTGGTCTAGTGCCGCGTCATTATCCAGGAACAGCAACATAATGAGACCCCCCACAAACAACATGGACCCACGTGACTTGTCTTTATCGTTACCTGGACACAGAATATTAGAGTCTCTTACATTGTAAAACTAGAGGCAGTGTGAGTTTTTATAACGTATATTATGTTTTCTAGCAAAGATAAAAGCATAATGGGTGTTTTAGATCAGTTGTGAATAATTGATAAGATTACATTGTTGACTTAGACTAATTAGGGAAACGAAGTGAATGATTATGAAAAGAAAATTGCCGCCAATGCAAATTTTAAACTAAGGAAAATATTGAATAGCTCAACCATTTTACACGACACAAATTACACACTTTACACAATGCACATCGTCGACATCCAAAATTCGTTCACTTAAAAAGCTCTAAAGCTGCCGCCAATAATAGCAGATAGCTAAATGAAAGAGTTACACTAACCAGCAAGGAGGTAGGATATACAAGCTAGCACAATAGTCTCGTGGTGGTCAAACAGCAGAACTGTTCGTATGGGTCCAACAAGACGTAGACCAGTACCCCAAAGCAGCATTACACCGGCGTACCAGGCCCCGTTAAACAATACCTGCGGGTTGGAAGAAGTTATTTCAGCATTACACTGGCCTACCAGACCGCGTTCAACAATACCTGCGGGTTCAAATAAATTATTTCAGCATTACACTGGCCTACCATGAGCAGGACGCGTTCAACAATACCTGCGGGTTCGAATAAATTATTATATTAAAGTCTCTATCAATATGTGCGATGTCATGGCACAAATAAGCTAACGTGGATTATTGAATATAAAACTGGTTAATGGTTATCTAGTGTCGTGCGTCTAACTACCTTACAAGTGATAATCTTGTGCCTTCCGATGTCAACTTTTAAGGACATGTTAACTGTAAGGATTCAAAGAGTTACGTTTCTTAATTCGTGCCACCATTTGTCTTCTTCATCTACAGTTTTAATTCCTTAACTTGGACCTTGACCAACTTTGTCTTCTCTGACAGCCAGCTTGACAGTGCTTCTTCGAGCATGTTAGCTGGTTTTGTCAGTTTATTATCTACATCTTTACAAGTATGACTTTCAAAACATGCTGCAGTCCCCGCATAAGAGATGGTAGCAGTGAAATGAAATCTTGCACGTGAACTACGTAGGTAACGACACTTTTGATTTAGAGCTGCGCTCTCATGATTTATCCACAGGATGGTTATCATCCACAGCAATTACATAACTGCTAAAAATATGGGTGATCGTCTAATATTTTGTTGCAATGGTATGGTAGGAAAAAGTAATCGCGTTTAACTACACTTCAGTTATAAGCAAAAACAAACCACGCAAAATTTCTTGAAAACAGACAACAGTTACAAAATTTCTTGGGAACGGTTGTGATGCAGCGGTTGGTCAGGTGACATGAATCATGATGGACACCTCGCCACAATGATCAATGATCATTTTGCTTTGATCTTTATTTTTTAAATAGACCTCTGTTCTTACAAAAAAACTTTCTCCTTAAAACGTTTCCCTGACTCCTGAGTTGTAAGTATATTATATATATAAAATATTATAGGTACTTTTACTTTCTGGTTGTAACGGATATTTCAGCTTATAACGCATCTCAAAATATTCAAACACACTTACTTAGCACTATATTAATGCTTTTCATACAAAGTTACTACAAAGTCTTCATGTTATCTATCCTGGGTTTGGACAGGATATCCCCGCTTAAAATATTTCCATCACGTTTAAACATAATACTCAATAAATGTAATAGATTTGTAGTGCTGTAATTAGTACGACTAGTACAGTACAGTACTACTAGTAGAGTACAGTACTTTGGTTACAGTACACTACAATGACAAACACCTGTCAACAACAGTCGTTAGTTATCAGTTGTCTGAGCACTTATTTTTTCTTGCATATCTCACTACACTAAAACTGCTAGTTATAGTGCGACAGGTTTTATCCTTTGATCCGTCGTGGATTTGTTGTTTGTTATGATATTATGCTATTGAGATGATACTAAATATCAAATTAATTAATATACCAATTTTAATGTATCATACGGACTTTCGATAACCACACGTAGGTTAGACGCTATTTCTGAATTTGATTAGTCACGCCGGGCTGCTCTCACTGATTGCTCAATCACGTGACGTCATACAGTCACGTGACGTCATACTTAACAAAACACCTCATCTCCGCACTTAAGTCTATTGTGACATCTATTATTGTCCCCAGAACTTATCATCCGATTAACTCGACAGGGTCACTAAAGTCTAAACCATTATAATATATATATATATATATAATATATAAATCATTATAATACCCCAGACCAAAAGTTCATTATAGACGACCCCAGCTGATTTATAGCTATACTATTATTAGCTGTAACTTTACCCTCCCTAATAGATGGTTAGGGAGATCGCGCCACAGCATGTTACGTTAAGCTATAATAACTTTGGTTGAATAAAGCAGCGTGCCCATCATTTATTAGAGGTCTGGTTATAGTTATAAGTTATTTTACGGGCGGGTGAGAGCATTGGGTCGGTGTTGCTTCTTTGGGACTTGGGAGAGGGCCAACACTGTTAAGTGGGGTTGAGTGGGGTTTAGTGGGATTTTCACTGTTACTGCCGTCAAGGCAGCCTCTCCGCCATTAATTATAAGAAACCAGAGCTGTGTTTATAAATTATCATGATTATAATCAGCCGTAACATGATTACCAATTGTAAGGTTTATCCTTGTTTTGTTACTGTTATCGATACTGTACGTTACCAATACCTATTATATATACTGCGCGTTACTGTGATACTTGGTTTTATTTATTATGTTCGGGAACGATCCACGTATGATGATTTTTTTTTTCATTTCATTTATTGTTTATGTAATTATTAGTAATTCTAGTAATTAGTTCTAGTTATTATTAATTAGTTCACCCAGACATTAAGACCCTTTTCTAATTATAGTCTCGAGTCTCGACCAATAGTATTAGTATAAACTATACTTAAAGTAAGGTAAAATTATTATAGTATTACATAATACGAATATTTAATGATTATTAATGAATTTGATAATGGATTGTCCTTGTTCTGATTTACTAAGAGAATTTAGGTAACACTGTTTCGTTATCTTGTCTTATATCTTTTATCTTCCTTAGCAAGTTTAATGTTAGGTATAAATGAACGACAGTCTGCATTCATAAGATTATCTATGTGATTGGTTTTACATTTCTCTTGTCAGCTAAAAACCACCAATGTTTTATAATATATGATCTGTAAATTTAGTTGCTTTAGAAGTAATAAATTATAATATGATATTTATGTCTCTATGATCACTATGACCGGATAACTGAAATGCTCCGTTTCATTTAATTTAATTTAATTTCAACGCAGCAGAAAATAGACAACCAATGCTAATAGCTGAACTGCTGAAATAATAGGCCGTATTTCTTCATTTAATCCCATTTGCATTTTGCCGCAATACTTTTAGTAATGAGCCGACTGGACGGAATAAGCACCAAATTGCGTTAATTTCCTGGTGACTTAACAGTTGAGATACATTTGAGACGAGGCGTATTAGTGAATTGTTGGGCATTATTTTGGGTGATGAGTTTTCATTGGTAAATATCAAGGCGATCTTTTAGGTGTTACAAGATAATTTCTAATACGAAATTTGGTAAAATCCGTTTTCGTATCATCATGGAGAGTGTTACAGCCAAATTACCAATTCGGTTATTTAACCTAATTGTTTTGTGACTAAACATTTCAACATTAATCCACTTCAAGCCATTTGCAGCGTACAGCTATGTGACTGGTCTGGTTGCTTTCAACCGCTTCAGAATTATCTGAGTTATTCCTGGTATTTATTATTTCCAACAGAGCTTATATTTTACTAACCGACAAAGATTCTGAACGATTATCATATTCATAAGTTCTGCTTGGTGCCATCCTCATAATTGCACAACTTATAACAATAACCACATGAGCTGTGGTTAGCTCAATTGTACGTGTTTGCATTGAAACCGTGCAGGAGACATCAAAATCCCTCCCACAAATTGACACTCAACAATTACGTCATTACGTGGAGTGACGTTAGGTTACTATTCACTAGCGGTTATTGAACTGCATTTGACTTTTGTCTAGGTGTGATTCACAGTTTTGGTGTTGGTTGCAGGTCTTTTGTTTGGGGTTTGAGTGCCCTTGTGTTTGACTAACATTATTGTCTCTCAACGATATTGGCGACATTGCTTGCCTAAGCTGCCGAGTGCCGATTTAATTTTCACCAACATGACATTTTCTTGAATTTCTGTCAGTTCCGCAAACCATCGCTGTTTCTCAAGATCAGCTTCTTCACAGGAAACAGAGTAACATCAGCAGATGGTACTTTACCAATTAACAATTTGTATCCTCTTCAGATTTCTCCTACATAGCCTTCAATACCGGAACATGAAAGGTTAAAGCTAGCAAAAAGGAAGTTTGTTTTGTGCCAGTACATATCAATATTATAAGTTTCTACCGAACTACATCTACTTACCAAATATACTGTTTAGTAGATACAAAAATGTTTGGTTCCTACCAGAATGTTTCTACGATGCAGCGTGCTCCTATATTTTCTGATTTCCATGGTATTTAGGATTTCTTGAGTACTAACCAAGGCTACGTTACAGAAACAATCTATGCACCAGGTCACCAGGTCACCAGTTCACCACTATTTAGAAGATTTTATTTGCCCAGCAAATGCAAACTGCGCACAGCAAAACTCTTGTACGTGACACATAGTGATTAGATAAACAAAGTAACGGAATACTTGACACACAAACTGATAGCTTCAATCAGAACGCGTGTCTCCCTAATTGGAATTAGCCGGGACTGCCTAAAATTCCTCAACTGCCTAAAAGTTTCCGTATAACAAGTGTCTGTGCCGTTCTGTCATCACTCTAAAGAAGCAAACATGCTACTAAGAGTGCCTTTTCTTACGGAGATGGCTAGGGACTAAAGTTTCCTAAAATTAATGTTATACTAGATTTTAGCTTCGTTACCGTTGCAATGTTGTCTGCTGTATCCCTGATAACCATACCATTTCAAAGAGGTAGATTCGTACTAGTCGTTAGTTATTTTAAGTGGTTTCGCCCAAAATGTATAGTTTGAAAAATTGCGATCGTTAAAGAACATGGATAATTGGCAAGGCCGTGAACTGTACATATGCCGTACCTTAGCACTTTTCCGGTGAGGAAACGAATTTGCTAGAAATGAGGCTGATATTATCTTGACCAAAACGTTGAGTTGATATTTACACGTACTGTTTTATTCTTATTCCAGCAGTTGTTCAATGTTCATCTTATTACAGTTATTGTTTATTATTCCATCAACAATCTAGAACATTCGCTTACCTTGATGAGGTTTTGTTTGGATAGAGTTCGGAGGACGTTGAGTGGTTGGTAAAGCATGACGTACAGTACAGCACTGCACATCAGCTGTGTGCTTATCACCTGCAACAGTACAGTTTAGTAATTAGTAATAGTAATTAGTAATAGGTAGTTAAAATGCTTGGATTGCTTGCAATTTATTGGAAACATTGCTGGTTTAGGGTATCTACAGTAAGGCAGCGTGAACATAGTTCTATGATCTTTACCCTAGAAACAAAATGCTCAGCGAGTACAGACCTGAAGAAGAGCTGCAGATTGTAAAATGTCAAAAGATACAAATGTTCCACTGACAAAGAGCAGTTTACTGAAAACCAGCATCAGAAGGAAGGGTCCTAACTTGCTCTGCCCTATTCTACCTAGTTCCTGCGAGTGGTTCCTGCCCCGACTCAACATTATGCTAGAAAACGAGAGTTTGTTAGTTTGAGTGAGATTTTATAGGATTAATCTTTATTTTTATAGAATTAAAAATGGATTTGAAGAAAGGGTAAGCGAATTTGTTACAAAATAACACAAATTAATACTTAAATAAAGGAAGTTGCTCAATGTTCGTCCTCATCACGTGAGTGTCACGTGGGCCGCATGGTATCGCAATTAGTAGCGGTACCGACCTACGTCCTACAATCCTACAATAGTATTAGAACATTCCTTCACTACTATAGAACTTTCTACTCAACAAACAACTATAACTCTAGCTTCCTCCTCGATAACTTTCTCACTAGTGCAGCTGCACATGAGTGTACAGCACATAGTCACATGTTTTGGTGGTGATTGCTCTCTCTCTCTCGGGAGCCACTGAGTTTTATTATATCTCGCTCCCGATTATAATATACTGTTATCTAACCTAATCACTTTCTTTTGTTGTTAAAAGGCTAAAACCAGCTTTACCTGATCAATTTAGCAATTTAAGTTCACAAGGCTGTACATGATTATTATACCCTAATGTAGCATTACTATTGTCACCAATGTACAGTACTTTCGACCACCTTTGTACTCGAAGATAATTAATAATAATAATAATAATAAGTAGGAATTTATACATCGCTTTATAGCCATAAAGAACTCAAAACCCAAAGATTCAGTTCAAACCATCTAAAGCGACTCATGAGTAACATGTACATAAGAACTTATTTTTATGAAGTATGGATTTTATGAGAAAGGTAATACATGATACTTATACAAATACGTTTTCAAAGAGATGAGTTTTTAGTTTCTTTTTAAATAAGACGATATCGGTTAGTGTTCTCAATTGATAAGGAAGCTTATTCCAAACAGAGGGTCCGCAGTAGCTGAAACTTCTCTCGGTTTTACTATAGTTTGAAATAGGAGGAACATTTAGGAGGAAATAGTCTTCTTCAGTTCTTAGTACACGTACAGGTTGACTTTTGATGTCAATACATTTGATGATTATTCAAAGGTGATTAAGTGAAAGGCTAGGCGTCAACCCAACGACAATTTAGACATTATACTACTATTGGCCGAAGAGGCTTTCCGCATTTTGGCTTAAAACCAGCTTCTGTGACGTATAATCTTTATTTTAGTTTGTATTTTGTCTAGTGAGTAGTGACATTTCATCTTGTTGCAAGCCTACATAGCTACATAGATTGCTAGTTCTGTTTACAACTGTTACATAACAGTAAATTAATTACCTGTTCGTCTTGACCAAAGCCATTTAAACTAACTATACTCCAATCTAAGAAGCCATGGCCCCGACACTTTTACCTGTTGAAGATTTCGATGCTGAGACTGATTGCAACAAGATACGGGCAGCTTTTAGCGGAGTTGGCACTGATGAGAAGACGCTGATTGATGTTCTCTGCAAACGATCACATGATCAACGAATGGCCATTGCTAAACTGTACAAGGTAAAAACATGACTTGATAATAACTTTTAAAAGTTTGGATAAAGTCTTTGCCCCACGCAACGTTGATATCTAGAGTCAGTCTAGTCAAGTCTGTAAGAGGCAGTGAAAAACACAATTATAGTTCTATTAGTTAACTGTTATCATTTCATCATGAATTACATTTCAGACGATGTTTGGAAAGGATTTAGTGAAGGATGTTAAGAGTGAAACAAGCAGTAACTTTAGGGAGGTCATGGTGTCGCTCTGTAATTCAAGAGCCAACTTTCTGGCTAGGATCTGCAGAAATGCAATCAGGGTACGTGAATGATACTCAGCACCATGAGATATCAAATTCATTAAAGAATTCGATTGTTTAAATGAACCAAGACGTTTTTTTTTGGCTTTTAAGTTTTACTCTACCCCAGTATGACAATTAATAGTTATTTATTTCTATAGGGAGCAGGCACTAGTGAAGGAGCATTGATAAACGTTCTCGTTGGAGGAACGAAACAGGACATTGCAGAGATCAAAGATGCCTACACAAAAAGTAAGATGCAAGTTTATTATGCACCCCAAAAATACTCATCATAAATTATGTAAGTCAAATTTAACCCATTAGGGACGATAGGGTCGTTTACGACCCACCTTTTCTAGAGGCTATAGAGGACAAACCAAAATACTAAACGCCAAGAATATTTCGCACATATGCTCAAAATTTATTGGGCTACATTATTGACTTTCCAGTCGAGACCCAATTAATCACTAACAACTAAATAATTAGGCTAATTAGTCGTCATAATTGGAAAATATTGCACGTTACTTCTTGCTTTGATTTGGACATTAAAACTTTATGTAGGCTTATTTTGTTGAGGACAAAGTAGTTGCGGGCAACGATTTCCTTGAGACATATGAAAAGCCCGTGATAATCAGATGTTCACAAACAGAGCTAGACGCTGTTTACTAACTGCGGTCGCATACGACCCACTCGTCCGGGTCGCAAACGACCCATCACGGTTTTTCGGCTTTAACGTCTGAAACAAAGACGTTAGGATAAAATAAAAACTGTAGCATAAGTTAAAACCATATGGTCAATACTGTGTGACTCTAACTTTTAAAAAATAAAGAATTTGGGTCATTAACGACCCACTCGGCTCACTTACTTATTACTACATATGTCCATGCAACTTCTTGAATTCAGCCTAAAACATGATATAATAAGTGCAAAATCGCCTCTCAGCAAGTGATAATCATCATAAACTGCGAAAAATCGGTTAAATGGGTCATTAGCGACCCACTAGGACCACAAAATTGATTAATTAAATATAATGTTGTCAAACTTTTACAAATATTAGTATAAAAACATGTTATATCTTGGTCATTACTCCTGTACGTTGATTTAACTTTTAAAATCGATCAACTGGGTCAATAACGACCCACTCGGAAGTTGAACCACGACATTAATTATCAGTATCATGCTGTTCCACCATTAAGAAAGACACTCGTAGGTCTTAATTCCACGCAAACCACGGTGGCTGACAACTAGCCCTTCTGAGATCCAGGGCCAACTGAACTTGAAGGGCCGTCATCACTCATCAAAGAGCTGCATAACACGACTGCATACATGCCTGAAGTTGCGTCTTGCCTATGGTGCGTGGGCCGTGGACATTTGTACCGAAAGGACCGTGGCCGTGCCGCAAAAGAAAAGGAAATCGGCCCTCGTTCCTAACTTGCTAGTCATGCTGTTGTTGTTGCTTATTATATTCTGTTACCTTTTTCGTCAATTTCGAATCTTGGTAAACGACCTGCTACATTAACCCACCGCTTGAGACCCAGGGTCCCACGGTGATCAGATCATGTCACTCAAGAAAAATCCCCTGAACGAAGTATACGAGATATCCTGTAACCTTGGGTAAATACTGAAAGACGAGTGGTGAAATTGCATATTCTAATCCAACATGCCAATCTGTTTGACATTCCTAGAAAGTACGAGAATAACTAAACAACTGCTGCATTCAGATGGCTACATCTACAGCTCTGTAAAGAAGGACAAGGAAAAAGCCCCCCCCCCCCCCCCCCCCATTTGGCTGGCGGTGCTGCAACCTGCAATCTCTCAGACAATTACCTCGTTGTGGGTAACAACAAGGAGGCAGCTTTCAAAACGAAAACAAGTATTACGTAATCGGCCTAGAGGGAGGGGAGTTTCCAAATGATTACGCTTGTGAACTTTTGACATAATAGCTATGTGGTGGGGGGGGGGGCGTAAAAATTGTCCAATAAGTAATTACGTAATATATGAACGGCCCCTAAGAAGTAAAGAACGGAAGCTGCCAAGAGAGTAAATGCAGCCATCTGAAATCTGAATCCAGCAGTTGTACAGTTCTTCTTGGACGTTCTATGAATCGGGAAAAGATAGGCATGTTGGTTGCTGTCTCACGACATTACGGTCGTGTACTAACAGCTGATAAACTCACCTACCTATCAATCCAATTCTGCCCATTATTCGTCAGTGATTGGGTAACGTGATCTGCAGATCACGGTGAGACTCCAAATCTCAGGAGGGCTAGTGGTCAAACTGGTCATCCACCGTGGTTTGCGTGGAATTAAGACCTACGAGTGTCGTTCTTAATGGTGGAACAGCATGATACTGATAATTAATGTCGTGGTTCAACTTCCGAGTGGGTCGTTATTGACCCAGTCGATCGATTTTAAAAGTTAAATCAACGTACAGGAGTAATGACCAAGATATAACATGTTTTTATACTAATATTTGTAAAAGTTTGACAACATTATATTTAATTAATCAATTTTGTGGTCCTAGTGGGTCGCTAATGACCCATTTAACCGATTTTCGCAGTTTATGATGATTATCACTTGCTGAGAGGCGATTTTGCACTTATTATATCATGTATTAGGCTGAATTCAAGAAGTTGCATGGACATATGTAGTAATAAGTAAGTGAGCCGAGTGGGTCGTTAATGACCCAAATTCTTAATTTTTTTTAAGTTAGAGTCACACAGTATTGACCATATGGTTTTAACTTATGCTACAGTTTTTATTTTATCCTAACGTCTTTGTTTCAGAAGTTAAAGCCGAAAAACCGTGATGGGTCGTTTGCGACCCGGACGAGTGGGTCGTATGCGACCATAGCTGTATCTTTTAAAGTAAACGAGATACAGATTAGCTTTTTTGGATATCTCATTTTTGCAGTAAAGTGACCTAGTGTGTTAAACGGCATCAAGATCGGCAAACTTTAAAACTCGTCGTCCCTAATGGGTTAAAGAAAAAGTAATGCTGGAGAGACTGCCACTGACTTTTTACACATATTTGAAATATGTTAAAATTATTAATTTCCCATGCACAGAGTATAAGAAATCCCTTGAAGAGGACATAGCTGACGACACAAGTGGTGCATTGAAGCATGTTCTTGTATCACTGCTACAAGGCAACAGATGCGAGGAGGGTGTGAGCCACGAACAGGCAACTAAGGATGCTAAGGTTGATCTTTATTTGAACTCAATAATATTTGCTAAAATAAGCTCTAATTATTATTACTGATCATCTCACGTAAGCTCGTGATTATTTCTTATTATACATCGCATACTATAAGACATAAAGTAATAAATATACAGGAACTGTTCAATGCTGGGAAGGGCATGTGGGGTACCAAGGAAAGTACCTTTAACAAGATACTTGTTTCCAGAAGTCCTGCACACTTGAAACGTGTTTTCAATGAATACAGAACCGTAAGTGTAAACCTGTCGGCAATTCAGAATGACATTACTACAACATGAATAGCATATAATCAAAATTATTGTGACATAAATCTAGTTAGCTGATCCGGACTATCTCTCAGATAGCAAGTGGTGACGACATTGAGAATGCTATCAAAGGGGAAATGTCTGGAGATACTAAGAATGCTTTTCTAGGAATTGGTAAGCTGACAGATAAGATGTCTAGTGCTACTATTGCCATTGATGCAGGCTATATTACATAACATGAGAGTATCTATTTATTTAAATTTTAAATTTATTCACTTTTAAATCCTGTCAAAATAATACAAGTAGATTTTCCAATTATATATTTTTTATTTTCTTGGATAAATTCTCTTACAATTACTAAACTGACATATTTTTAGTGAGAGTTATCAAAGATGCTGAAATGTATTTTGCTGAAGAGCTTTACAAGTCGATGAAGGTATTACAAAACATTAGTCACCTAAAATAATTCGATATGAAATTAAGATATACTTTATTTCTGTAACCTAATATCAGATCTAACTACACTAACTTATAAATGTTCATCTTGCAATTGACCACCAATGGCAATGATATGACAAAAATTGAACAATTCTTTGCACCAGGGCATTGGAACAAATGACGACAAGCTGATCAGGCTAGTGGTCTGGAGGAGTGAAATTGACCTGGCTGAAATTAAGGAATGCTTTAAAATAGTATCCAAAGGGAAGACGCTTGAGGATTTCATAAGCGTAAGTTTTTGTGAATTAATATTGCTATCTAGCTTTACAACTTGTTTTTGTCACTAATTATCTTCCTTAGAACAAAATGTATCTAAATTTAACATGTGTTTCGGTCTTGTGACAACTGCTTATTTGGCCTAACTATCAGGTTTCTAACTAATGTCTTATAATATGTTGAAATTATTTAGGGTGACTGCAGTGGAGACTACAAACGATCCCTAGTAGCACTTTGCTAATCTATGAAGATCAATGATTCGTATTCTGACTTGAAGCTTCTTTTACTTGACTCCATTTTAAACTTTAGTTGCATGTTCAATTTAATCCTTTTTTTTCAAACAAAGTGACAAGCTGTTAGATTATTGAAATAAATCATAAAATGTTGGAAATATTAATATAATTGAGTAATTATGACATAAAGTAAAAACAACAAAGATTTTTTATCATTTAGATTTAAATTGACTGGATTGAAATCATATTTGTTTTGCGCATTTAATTTTCGAAGTATACAGTTTTATTAATTTTGTGACTGCTGTAAAGTTTACATTATGAGAGTGTGATAGGTACTATGTAAAAATTAGACCTTGGTATTCTAACACAACTATGTTTTTATTATTATGTTCAAACTTGAGCTTCTATCAACATTCCAACTAAATGCTTGCAGATTACAAGAAAAAACAATGGCCATAATTTAATGTCTGAAGTCTTTTTCTGCTCTATAAGAGAAACGAATCTTCAATTCTAGTTTTTAAAAGAAAAATACAATCACACACATGTGCTCCGATGGAGCTATCTTGAATCCTCGATTCAACTAAATTGGATATTTTACACCTATCCCACTAAGAAGTACATCTTTCAGTACAAACACAAAAATGTTGAACAAACGCGAAGTAATTTATCCAAATGACAGCCTAGCATTTACAAGTGAATGTAAACATGAACAATTACATCAAGCACCTATAGCTCAGGTGAAGATCTTTGGCCTATAGTTGCAATAAACACTAAAGCATACACAAAACTCTCCTTCACTATACATGGACAAGAAGACCAACAAAGTAATTATTAACAATTGCAATTAGCGAGAACTGCCTCCCATCTGAATCTTCCTGGAACTAGTTAACAGAATTAAAAATGATGCCACTATATTAGATTAATTCGATTACCTATCTTGGAATCTTTATAATAGTGAAATTTATGCATCCATGAAAACTCACTCCTTTATCTGTAAATTAAGGCATACCTTGTAGTCAAATGTATTACTATTGGCTATTACTGTAAATATTCCAGCGTGAAAAAGTTAGAGGTGACACCCAAAAAGGTATCATGCTAGAAATACAGGTTCAACTACATAAAAAGTGTAAGAAATTTGTCAACAGATTAGCTGATCTCAAAGCCAGAAAGAGGAAGGAGAGGTACTGTGATGTAGTAAGGCATATAAGACTGAGGATAAGATTGGCTATGTTAATAACAAATCTTATTGCTCTTCGTGGGTAATGTACAGTGGCAGTGGTGTAACAAAGGGCCCCGCTGACCCTTCTGTGCGGGGGCGCCATCTTAGTGGGCGCCAAATTGTCATTTGAATGTGTTATGCGGGACAATTTTGAAAAACTTAACGAGGTACTAACAAAACTGCACGTTTTGCTCTAGAAACACACTTTTTTAGAGATTTTACCAGCATATCCTCTAAAATCACCTGATTTGTTCAATTTTAGGGAGGGGCACCAAAAGGGGAGGGCGCGCCAACAGGGGGCGCTTTTTTGGTGGGGGCGCCAACAGGCAACTTACGCCACTGTGCAGAGGAAAAAAGATTGACATCAAACATGAGACCCCTATATCAGAAGTCTCGTACAACCTCATCTCTGCCCCGATGATGGATTAGATGATGTGTTTTGAACTTTGTGTGTATATATTTTTACTGTTTAAAAGTTCAAAAATATTGGTAGCATTGGACCATTTCCGTTACCTATGTATTGTGCTCTGCAAATTACATCACTTGATTTAATTGAATGTATATATTGTTTGAATACTACATAAAAAACATTCTGAACCCATAGAATAAAAGAGTTCAAAGAAAATTCATCAAAAAAGCACAAGGAACTGAAACAGAGGCCAGGGGTTCCGTTCAGGCCCTTCATGAATTATAATGTTTAGAGGATATGTGAACGCTCTCTAACAATGAACAAAATGTGATGTAAGGTAAGTTATAGAACTCCTGACCAAACGAGTGCCGAAGGCACGAGTTTTGTCAGGAGTTCTATAAATTGCTTATGGTACGGCACAAGACAACAGTCTTGGGAATATTTTCCGACCAAAATCTTGAAATTTGGTGCATTTTAACTGTGTCAAATTGGCAAAAAACTGTATCTACTTCCGACACAAAGTGTTCATTACTATTCTATAACTTACCTTACATCACATTTTGTTCATTGTTAGAGAGCGTTCACATATCCTCTAAACATTATAATTCATGAAGGGCCTGAACGGAACCCCTGGCCTCTGTTTCAGTTCCTTGTGCTTTTTTGATGAATTTTCTTTGAACTCTTTTATTCTATGGGTTCAGAATGTTTTTTATGTAGTATTCAAACAATATATACATTCAATTAAAGCAAGTGATGTAATTTGCAGAGCACAATACATAGGTAACGGAAATGGTCCAATGCTACCAATATTTTTGAACTTTTAAACAGTAAAAATATATACACACAAAGTTTGTCAGGAGTTCTATAAATTGCTTATGGTACGGCACAAGACAACAGTCTTGGGAATATTTTCCGACCAAAATCTTGAAATTTGGTGCATTTTAACTGTGTCAAATTGGCAAAAAACTGTATCTACTTCCGACACAAAGTGTTCATTGTCCAATGAGCATCTTGCCATGCTACTACCATCGTGTTACTCTCGTGGTTGCCACATGACAGCTTACCTAACTTCAGTTAAACAAAAATTTCTTTCAGTTAAACAAAAATTTCAATTTTATGCCATTTATTACAGATTAAACAAGTTTACAATAAATCAATTTGATATTTAAGGGAATCCTAATTCAATGTGCAGTATGAATACTGCACATTGGACAGCGCACTTTTGTCACGTGAGTTACATTTATTGAGTACAGTACGGAATAAATGTAAGTGGTAAGTATACTCTTCATATTTACTCAAACTATATTAACGGGTGATACTCGTAAAATATTTGTTCCATATATTAGGACCGTCAGCGCGTCCAACTCGGCGCGCGTCCTGGTAGGTTGTAAACCTACAAAAACTATAAGGATGCGAATTGTAACCAGTCCCGCTTATGCCATCGCCCATCAACCCCAGGATATTATGTTTCCCTTAAAAACTGAGGAACATTTACAAAAACCTTTATATTAAAAGAAGCCAAACGATATATAGCTTATTGATGCTTTTCATACAAAGTTAAAACAAATTCTTCATGTCGTGCATCTTGGGTTTGGACAGGATATGCCCGCTTGAAATATTTCCATCACGTTACATTACATAATTCTCAATAAATGTAATAGATTTTTAGTGTTGTAATTTGTAATTAGTTTATGTAATATGTGCTTCACATAGCCATGTGTATATGCGTACTGCGTGACACGCTTGTTTCACAAGTTGAAAACTGGCCACGGGCCTAAATATTACATATCAATCAATTACAATTCATTAATATTACCAATATTAAAAACTATCGAAAATATTCAAGAAAGTATTCTCTAGCCAAAGGGCTCAATATTTAAATCTAAATCTTCAATATTGTCTGGTTTATATCGCAAGTAGAATATTTCACAAGTAGAATATCCTTTGCCGCCTTCGGCGGTCAAGCTACCGCAAGCGAGAGGGCTCTGGTTAGAGCAAAATATGAGTTGGCACAGAATTTATGTCTCTGATTTTAATAAATTTGGTACCAAAATTTGCCTCTAAAGTGTGAATAATACAAATTCACCGTGCAGCAGGATAAGGTAAAGCAATATGTGGGCATTTTGTGCATTGCAAGTGTGTAAATAAGACGAAAAATTAATAGTTTCTCTTTTAAAATGCTATAACTTCTAAAATATCAAATATTTTGAAATAATTTTATAGGATTGTAATATAATTCATTTTCATGTTTTTAAAAAAATTGTAATATAATAAGCTTTAAAAATTTGTAATGTTTAAAAAAGGACTTTAATGTTCTTACCTCGTATTTTAGTTTGTTGCTTGCTTCTCTCAGCTCAATATTCCTGATCTTCCTGTCTACAGTTTATGAAGCTCGAAAAGAGCGTCGCGCACAAGGACTTTTGTGATAGGTAATTGTGTTCAAGTTCAAAGTTTTAAATTAATGTTTCTTTAAATTTTGACAATCTGAGCTGATTACGCGCAACTTTAAAACAATTATTTGGTATTTCAAAATAACTGAAACTGTGGAAGTTATAGGCGAAAATTATAAAAAACTTTAAAATTTGTGCAAAAAGAAGCAAGCTTGGCAAATCAGCGCCATAAAACATTTTTAGCAAATATTAAAAAGTATGTGGAATTATTTTATATTCGTATTTTCAATTTTTAAACAACTTTTTAACGGGTGATACTCGTAAAACATTTGTTCCATATATCAGGACCGTCAACGAGTCCAACTCGGCGCGCGTTTTGGTAGGTTCTAAACCTACAAACAACTTTTAGTATCAAATTTGTCAAATTATCGAAAAAATAGAGTGTAGAGTAAGACGTTTATATTTTGTACATGCATGTATCACTTTCACATAGCTATGTCTAGTATACGCGCACGTGTATATGCGTACTGCGTGACGTGATTGTTTTACAGGTATAATATTAAATATATTTGTGCCGCCTTCGGTGGTCGCTCGCTACTGCAAGCGAGAGGGCTTTGGATAGAGCAATGTATCACTAATCACGTCGTAATCCCGGCCCCCATTGTCATTTATTTTAGTGAAATCACGATACAGCCGTGCACTCATGCGCGGCGGGCCTTCAACGCGAGGCAAGTTTGAATTTAAATCTGTACAAATATATAAAATTATTAAAATTATTCGAATAATAAATAAATAATTTTATATAATAATTTTGCGTTTGACAAATTATATCACATTACGATATTTTTAGCCTTTCTTAAAGCTAATCCATAATCTTTTCAACAATATGTTTCAGGAATTGCGAAGCCTCAAATGCTATTTTTTCTGTTATACTGAACACCAGTGGCGTGAAAGTGGCCTTTTACAAGTTAAGCACGTTGTCATTGTACTCACGTTTTTTGCTTTTCTTGTGAGATTGGTACATCTGCGAGATGCTCTGGACTGGTCTTGAGGGTGATGTACCTTTACATTTGTATAAGTATACCTTTACGATCTCGCAACGATGTCCAGTCTTGCGCCATTCTGTCTATTTGTTCCATAATATAATTTGAGTGTGTGGGAGACAAAATGGAAAGAAGCTGGGGCTTTGTTTCAACATCTTTGCAAACAGAGGTTACCATTGCTGAATTAATTTGTGTATATTGTTCGCACAACAATAGTTATGTATACATCTGGGGTTCTACATCTAAAGGTTCTTTAGCTTTGTTAGCATGCTCTGGTTTTACTGTCAACTATGTTTTGCTGGGTTTACA